GCTTACAATGGGTTGCCAAGCATCACATAATCATGTGATCACCATTTGCAATCTTCTCTGCTGGCTTTCCCAGAAGTAAGTGGGGAAGTTGGCAGGGAAGGTTGCAAGCTGCTTCCTGCCAAAACAATTCCATTTGGTTCCTGGGGGGCTGGCTGAAAAAGTCTGTCCCCAAATCCAATAGGGTTTTGACATGGAACGTTTGCATCATGAGGTATTTGGAGAAAGCCCCCAGAAATGAGAGGGAGCTCATATCTTATGGAAAACTTCAGATATTGAATCAAATCAATTTTTAATCAACTGCCAACGGGACCTACAGGCACATTTAAACCACATAAAATAAAAACAAAGTTATATCAGTTCCTTCCAATATTTTGAGGACTTCCATTTTATATTAATTGATTTGTAAAATAAATTATCTGGACTTAGAAAGGAGAACTAAAAAATATAGCAGTGCGACATACATGTAGGATTAACCTGGATTCCCTAAGTTTACTTCCTAGTTGAGCTGACATTCGTGCTAAATGTCAGAAGTCTATTTTAGGATAGCTTTTCCCAACATGTTTGTCCTTCAGATGCATTGTGACTGCTACTTCTATAATGTACTGCCAATGTGGAAGTTCTAACACTGACAATCTGACATATAATTCCACATAGTTTTGTAACTCTCAAGCGAAATTTCAGAAAATTTCCACCCGAATTAATACAATGCCTTTCTATACTTTTTGCTGATGATTCTAGACTATTCTTCATTTCTAAAAAGCAAGAATTTATTATAGGTAGCATTAAAAAGCAACTTACCAATTACCCCTAGACTTGTGAGTCGCAGATATTCAAAGGGACGAGTCTTGCTGACAGTGTGCAAGAAGGGATACAAGAAGAGAGGGATATGTGCAGCAAGGAAAGCCGACCTAGACATGAAGGAAAAATGCATTTGACAAAATAGCAATTAGGAAGAGATACCTTTTATCATAACTTACGTTAAAATAACTATTTAAATATTAAGATATCTTTATTAGCTAATGATTATGATTCCCACAATGTCAATATGCAAAGCATGTATACCTGGTTTCTGGATGTGACGCAACACATTGCAAAAGTGCCAGAGCATTGCATACTCTGTTGGATTGATGAGCTGTCAAAGTTGGTGGATTTATAGATGGGTAGATATTTACAATTTCCTATGAAAAAGAAAAAACACTAGTGTGAAAATATTTCTTACTGAAGCATTAACAATCAACCCACTAATTAGCTATGATCCATTGACAGAAAGAATTATACATTTTTTGCTCATACACTGACTAGACAAAAGCAAATTATTTAAAAGAAAGCGAAAGATATAAAATATAGCAATTATATGAATTCTGATTTTGGAGATTTTTTTTATTTGACTGGTATATTCCTTATTACTATCTTTAAAGGTCCTTTGGAACTTGATCTTGGTTTGAAGCAACTGTCACTATATGCATTCATTTTTTTCAATTGAAGTATAAAGTTGTAGTGTGACTTAGGGTATCTAGATATGTGCAAAACAAATTGCTTTTAAGATAGGTGGGCAAGCTATCTCAATTAAAAGTTGCATTCAACCTACCTGTAACAGAGCTGCAATTGTGCCAAATGAGTGCCATAACATTGGGGCAAGATCAGGGACAGACTCTCGTTTTTTACTCAGCTCCAATAGTGCATTTTCACGAGTTTCAGGACTGGATAGTTCATTAATCCACTGGTAAATCTTCTCTCGATCAACCTGTGCAAGTGCCGTTGGCACTGGCTTTAAAAAGAGAGAACACACTTAAGGAAACTTTTTAATTGTGACCAACTTCAAATACTTCAATTGAAACAGGGCAAGCAGCAGATATGGATGCAATTAAGTGGGTTTCTTCAGAAAGAAGAAGACCATTGTCTCTTTGAAGGCTAGTGGCACGAGCCCTAGTGCAAAGATGCACCCTACTCTGTGGAGCTCCCCAATCAATCCCTTATGGTTAGCTCAAATGAACCAAAATAGGCAAGAAACAAAAGCGAATGTGTTAGACACCTTAAAAACATTTTCTTTATATTCTCAAATGTCATAACCTGAATTTGATTAGTGTATTGGATACCCTAGTACAGTGATGGCGAACCTTTTAGAGACCAAGTGCCCAAAACTGCCTCGCTCCCAGCCTGCCCATCCCCGCTCCATCCGCCCATCCCTGCCCACTCTCAGGACCATCCACAGATCGCCCAGGCGACTTTGCAGAGCCATGGTGGCCACGCCCTCCGCCTGCGCCCCACAGAATCATCTGCTGCCCAGCTGCCATGTGTTGGCTACGCTGCTCTCCTGGGCCGCACCCGGAGGTGACTCTTTTCCCGGGGGGGGGGGTTTGCTGATGAGGAGGGGGCTGCGGGGGGAGTTGGGGCTGGGGCGCCGGCATGTGTGCCCACAGAGAGGGCTCCAAGTGCTGCCTCTGGCACTCGTGCCATAGGTTCACCACCACTGCCCTAGTACACACTGTATCAAAAAGAAGTCAGAATTCAGTATGTATGTTCAATGGTGAGCTTGTTAAAAAAAGAAAAGTAAAAGCTGACAGCCTCAGGAATATAGGACAGAAAAGAGTGACTGAAGACTAAAAATAAATCAGCGCCAAACTATGAAACTATGGTATGTCAGAAGCAACATGAAAATATTGAGAGTGTACTTGAAAATATTTGTGGGGAACAAGAAAAAAAGTCATGAAAGAACGGATGATAATGTGGACTGAATAAAAAAATAAGTGACCAGTACAAAAGAAACATGTTGAAGAAGTTCAAGATCCTAAAAAAATAAAGTGACAAGTTTACAAAGTAGAAAAGACAATGTATGAAGCAGCTTACAGACATGATGAAAGCAAAAGTATTTACAACAATAGAAAGCTAGGGAGAGTTATAGTGAAGTGTTAACTACATTCAGGTGTATTTCCTTTCCTGATATCATCCTCTATAGCAGGGGTGTCAAACTCGCAACATCACATGACAGGACATATCGTGACTTTTTTTCCATTGCTGGCAAGGGTGTGGGCGTGGTTTCGACATGATGCATCTGGTCCGTGGGCCGGCAGTTTGAAACCCCTGCTGTACAATAACATTTCTATTACTTACTGCTGTTTTGTGCTTGGCATAATGTTGCTTACCCTGCAAGGGAATAGCATGATAGGTATGTACATAGCTATCACCTGAATATATACCACAGCAAAAATGTTGCTCTGCTCTTTTAAACAGAGAGCTGAGATTAAATCTTTTCACATCAACATTCACAAGAATCTGGTACAGGTAGCCTGGGATTACAATCATTTGTTTAGTGACAATTCAAAGTTACAACACTGAAAAAAGTGACATCATATGACCAAAATTCAGGCACTTAGCAACTGGCAAGTATTTGATACAGTTGCAGTGTCCCAGGGTCAATGATCACCTTTCAACAAGCAACGTTAATGGGGAAGCCAAGTTCACTTAACCATGTTACTAATTTAACTGCAGTGATCCATTTAACAACTGTGGCAACAAAAGTCATAAAATTGGGCAAATTCACTTAACGATATTAATTAGCAATAGAAATATTGAAATCAACTGTGGTCATAAGCTGAGGACTACCTGTATCAGGTACCAACAATCAAGACTTATGCTGTTCTCATTCCTTCCAAAGTTTTATTCCATCATTACAGCATTCTTCAACACCAAAGTAGGTCATGTATCTTGAATGGTTATAATTATGAACCTCGGCCTGATTTCTAATCCAAATGTCATTCCACATATAGTTAATTGTACAAACATGTTAATATACAATAATGTAATAAGTGTGGCAGGAACAAGAGAAAAATAGAACACAAAAATCTGAAGGGAAGAAGCAAAACAAAAAAGAACAGCATTCAAAGACAAGTACCAAGAGGCCTGGTTTTCCACTCATACCTAGAAAGGGAATCTACCACTGCAGAGTTAACAAGAGAAATGGCATCTTGTTTTTCGCAACTATTCAAATACTTAATTTAATTGAACTTCTATCAAGTTACTGTTATGTTTGCTGGAAGTAACTGGTAAAAACTAATCCAACCTACTGACATTTTAAAGCTACAGTCCTATATATGCTTAAAAAAAAAAATCAGTTCATTGGGTTACTTTCATGCAAACTTAATAGGCTCCCCAAACAATACTTTTTGAAAGACTGCAATACGTGAATATTAAAAGGCACATGAATAACATTAAATGACGGCAGATAATTAAACATACCATCACCAGACTTTTACATAGATCTACACATCCAGCAGCTAGCCCTTAACAAACTTCCTTCAAATCACTAATCTCTGGAGCCATGTTTATATGTACCAACGTTATGCACCGGTAATTACAAACCCGCATAATTTAACATATGCAAAAGGCACCCAACCATCACCAGATTGCTGCAAGCGCATTCGGAAGTAAGTTCGCAGTACTCTGGCTCTCCGAAGAAAAGCTCAACCCCTGATCGGTGGCCACCGGGGGACAAGGAGCTGAATGCGCAGGAAAGGACGAGCATTTCTTATCGAGGATAATTTGGCGGGAAAAAAGGACGGCTTCGTCTGAGCCCCCTTGCCCTTAAGCTCATCCTCCAATCAGAGGAATGAATGGCTCCCCTCGCTCCGCAAGCAGGCCTCTTGTTCCCCTAGTAGGCACAATCCGCATCATGCCTAACTTGGCCTTACCGCAGCCGTGGCCAAACTGTGCATGGTCGAGACTTCTTTGCGAAAGAGCTCAGGAGGCCGCTTCAACTTCAGCTGCCGCCATCATGGATCCGAGCGCAAGCCACCGCCTCTTCCTCTCGGCCCTTCTGCCTCCGCCGCTCTTGCAACTGTCGTGACCTCTGACCTCTCCTTGGGACCAAGGAAAAGAGGTGGAGCGCATGCGTCGTGGCCGCTCAAAGCAACTCAAAAGCGCGCACAGGGAAAAAAAAATAAAGGAGCCAGATCCTTTGCGCGTGCGCAGAAGGGCGAGCGAGCGAGTCGTCACTCGGCCCCGCGAACTAAGTAGTCTCGAGGAAAGTTGCTCCTGCCGTCATCCGCGTGGAGGTCTGCGGCGGGAAAGGCAGCCAGCCGTCGCCGTGATGACGTAGGGGTCTCCCTCTTCGTTTCTCTCCCGCGATTGTTTCTCTCCCCACCTTTTTTCTTTTCTTTTTTTTTTTTCACGTGCGTCTTTTGCGTCAGACGGACGTTCGCGCGGCTGATCTGCTTCCCGCCAGCTGCCCTTTCCCCAAAACGAAGGGGAGGCTTCTCCGCTTTGGGTCCGGCGAAGCTGGGCTGGCACGCCGTGAGGTAAAAAAAGAGGGGGGAGCTCAACGGGGGGAGACCCCTCCAATCAGAAGAGAGGCTCGAGGGAGCCTACGAAGGTAAGAGGGAAAGTGCCGCCGCCATCCCTATTGAATAGGCGGGTGCGGGTGGTGGGTCTTTGGGGCAGATTCGAAAGGGGGAAAGGGGATGAGAGAGGGTGGAGGAGTTTCTTCGTGCACCACAAGGGTCCCGGGGAGCTGTTGCTGGACTGGGGTGGCAGGCTGCAGCCTCAGCAGCTAACCCCACTTGTAGCTTCGCGAACAAGGCGAATTCAGCCTCGGTGTGGTTTCTTTACACCTGGGAACTCGGAATGTTCTCCCCCCCCCCCCAGTGCAACAGAACCGCAACGGGGTAAACGCTGCATGTAGTTTACTAGTTGGGTTGCTGAGAAGGCATCTTCATGGTGTCCAGAGATGGAATGGACTCGCCACACCCTTTCAGACGTAGTATACAGATAGTCCTCAACTTACGGCCACAACTGAGTCCAGAATTTCTGCTGGGTGAGCGAGACATTTGTTAGTTGAATTTGGCCCCATTTTACGTCCTTTCTTGCCACAGTTGTTAAGTGAATCACTGCAGTTGTTCCTAACACAGTTGTTAAGTGAATCTGGCTTCCCCATTGACTTTGCTTCTCAGAAGGTCACAAAAGGGGATCACGTGACCCCCGGGACACTGCAAGCTTCATAAATATGAATTACTTGCCAGGTACCTGAACTTTGACCATGGGGATGCTGCAACGGTTGTAACTGTGAAAAATGGTGTTGTAAATTGAGGATTACCTGTAGTCCCTCAACCACTGACCTCCATCTTTTATTTTCTCCAACCAAGGCTTCTTATCCTATACACAAAATGCCTCAAAGGTTAACCACCAGACTAGCTGCTGGCATATTGACTTTGCTGTTATGTCTCTAGCAGAAACCTGGCATGTAGAATTGAAGCAAGTAAGACTGGTTTCCTTTATTGATAGACTACTTCAATGTTTTAAAGTTGGGCAGCATAGAAAGTGCACATCCTGGCAGGTGGTGTCTTGTGTTCATCTGCTTGCTGCTTTGAAACTTTTGAAGCTGCCTTTCAAGCCTGAATCAGCTTGCTGAAAAGAAAAAAATACACGGGGAGTTAACTGTGAGAGGGACCTCGGAGTCCTAGTAGACAATCACTTAAATATGAGCCAGCAGTGTGCTGCAGCTGCCAAAAAGGCCAACACAGTGCTAGGCTGCATTAACAGAGGGATAGAATCAAGATCACGTGAAGTATTAATACCACTCTTCAATGCCTTGGTAAGGCCACACTTGGAATACTGCATCCAGTTTTGGTCACCACGATGTAAAAAAGATGTTGAGACTCTAGAAAGAGTACAGAGAAGAGCAACAAAGATGATTAGGGGACTGGAGGCTAAAACATATAAGGAACGGTTGCTAGAATTGGGTATGTCTAGTTTAACGAAGAGAAGGACAAGGGGGGACATGATAGCAGTATTCCAATATCTCAGGGGCTGCCATAAAGAAGAGGGAATTAAGCTATTTTCCAAAGCACCTGAAGGCAGGACAAGAAGCAACGGGTGGAAACTAATCAAGGAGAGAAGCAACCTAGAACTAAGGAGAAACTTCCTGACAGTGAGAACAATTAATCAGTGGAACAGCTTGCCTCCAGAAGCAGTAAATGCTCCAACACTGGAAGTTTTTAAGAAGAGACTGGACAGCCATTTGTCCGAAATGGTGTAGGGTTTCCTGCCCAAGCAGGGGGTTGGACTAGATGACCTCCAAGATCCCTTCCAACCTTACTATTATTATTATTATTATTATTATTATTATTATTATTATAACTGTGTTTATCCTAGCTTAGATGAAATTTTATTCTGCCAGTCAACATTTGATTTATACAGGTAGCCCTCGACTTGTGGACTATTCTTTCAGTGACCATTTAAAATTACAATAGTACTGAAAAATTGAAGTTAAGCCCAGTGAGCCTCAGGAACAACCAGCAGCTTCTAATGTGAACTGTAGAGCATTCTGTAGAAGTGCCCCTGGAGAATCAGTTTGCAGGTTTTAGCACATTGGAAGCTGCTACCCTTTGCACAGCTTTGCAGGGCTGAGCAAAGGGCCTATGGGTAGGTTCTGCTAGTTTCCTTTACCCCTTGCTGAAGCCTACAGATTGGTTTTCCAGGATCCTTCCAACAGACTGTGCTGTGCACCAAGTTCCTGCATCCCTCAGTTTTCTCTGGTTCTGCCACCACCTCAAACGGTACCTCTCATATAGTCTCCATCTTTGCCTGGGGAGTTGCCATCAGCTGCCTTATCTAGTGTTGGAGAACTCTGTTGCCTCTTTGTTTGGCTGGGCATGGCATGTCACCCTGTTGTACTTACCACGCACATCCCTGGGCTCCACCTTGCCAGCTCTGGATTCCAGGCTAGAAGCAGGAAAAAGATGGCAAGGATCAGTGGGGGATGGCAGGGATAAGTGGCACAGTGCAGAGCAGCCAAAAGGGCAGAGATGCAGAGGAGATAGGCGGGTTGGGGGAGTTGGAGCGAAGGTGGCAGGACAGGAGAAGCATAAGGTCCTTGCCTACTGACAGTGCTTTCATGGCCTAATGACTGCAATTGAGGCTATTGGAACTGCTGTTGCTAAGCAATGTGGTCACATGATGTTTTGTCTAATGACTGCATCACTTAGCGATAAAAATCTGTATCTCAATTGCCACTGTAAGTCAAGGACTACCTGTGGTACCGTTTGATTTTTGTATTGTTAGTGACATTTTAAGGGGATTAGTCCCTGATATTTATTATAAATGTTCCCAATTGCAATAAATCATTGGGGATAGGTGGGTTGAAGGAATAATAAAAGTGGGCACTAGGATATACTAGCATCTATTCACATCTTTTTCACTTTGATAGTATTTGTGTCTCTTTGAACCCATACATATCTGAGCAATGGTGATTAATTACATTATTTGAAAATACACTTTGCAACTTTTTGTCCTTTCTGACACATTGTTTCCCAAAATGTATATGGAAGAATTCATATCTGTTTTGTAGAAGAGTATAACCTAAAACTTTAGTTTTATTTTCTTTTGAAATACACAATAGAATTCTGTTATATTTAAAATGTAGATACACAAAAATCTGTGTATCTGTTTTCTAATTAAGATTTTAAGAAAAAAAAACCATTTTGCAGCAAGTGTAACTTCAGTATACTGAAAAATTAAACTCATGATTCTAGTCTAGCTTAAACACATTGAATATTGTAGGATCGGTTTGCTAAAAATTATTTAGGATTCAGTGTTAAAAGTAGCGTATTGTACTACTTGCGATGTCAGAACTAATACTTTTCCAACTTTGCTAAAATTATTTTAATATTATTAAAAAGGAAAGATACTTGGGCACCATTGTTAGTAGAGGTTTGGAATGTGTTAGCAATATTTAAATTTAAACATTTAGAATATTAAAGTTTCTTTCACACTCATGAAATGTTTTTAATGTTTAGGTTTTAATTGCGTGATCTGGTAAATGATATCTGATTAGACATTGAGCTTATTTGAATAATATGAAAGAAAGGTTAAAAACTTATACAAACTAAAAAAATGTTTTTGACTATATTAACATTAATCCATGATTAATTTTAACAGGTTATATATCATAGGAAAAAAGAAATTATTACCATTAAAATCAAGAAAAGATTGCAGTTACTCATGTGAACTACTGGTAACAGAACACTCAATAGCTAATACTATTAAAATCATTATTACTGTATTCAATTAGTGCTGCTATAATGAATAATCCTCATTAGATAATTGGAGAATGTTTCCACCAATCATCAGTATTATCAAAATTAATTTGAGAAACTTTTTCCTTAGGTTTATGTGGTGTTTCAAGACTCTGAGCAGTTTACAATGCATAAAACTAAACTTTAAAAAATCTGTAACAAACATACCAAAGAGGACTTTGATGTGGCACCATTAAAGGATGCAGAATCTTCAGACATCTTCAAATGCTTCTCTGAAGCCATGTTTTTATATGTCTTTGCAAAAAATAAATGTTTGAAAGGTGGTGGCCTGAGTATTTGGGAATAGGTTGAGAACAGAGGCAGGGAGCTATCACTGGGAAGCCTTGAATACAGAATCCCTGTAGATGGCATTCCCTCAGATTTGCTTCAACTGTTATAATTCATGTAGCATTTGGTTTAATACACATGTATATACACCCTATATTCCTAAATTTCTTTAGAAAAGCTGTTAGCTCTTTCAGCCACTTCATCCAATTCAGTTATGCTTGGAAGTTGGGTAACTCATCAGAATATATCAGATTTATTTCTGCTCTGCTGTATTTGCGATGAACTGTTAAGATTCAGCATTTCAGTCCCATGTACTTTCCCCTGTCCTTTAATATTCTGGAATAGTTTGGGATTCATGAGGCATTGACCTCCCTATTTCATGGAGAATTAATTAGGCCAGTGTTATTTGTTTCACTAGTTAGCAAGCACAGCTGAAATTAGGCTGCATTTTGGGTTAGGGTAGTCACATTTTAGAAAGTTAATGTACAAACTTCTTGATTTTAAATTTACTGCCAAGTTTTGGAATAGATGTAAACCATAGTAATCAACTTTTAAATTTATTTTTTTTAAAAACAGCTGCGTTAAAGACTAGTCTTCATTATTTTCAGAAAATATTTGTATGAAAATATGACTCCATTGAAATTATGTGGGTCTGTTCGCATGCGGAGCATACAAACTGGGACTACAAAATGGAAAGAAGGAACATTTGAAATTGTGGATAAAGACAGCAAAGTGATTTTGGTAGTTCGCTACAATGCTGGAGGAATTCCAAAAATATTTCCAGTGAGTTGGATTTTCAGAGGCTTATTTTTGTTTGAAGCATCTTATGATTTGAGCCTTCATTTAACTGTCACTTGAATTTTCCTCACAGATTCATTTCACTTTTTCAGAACATTGACATTATTATATTGGAAATTATTCAGTTGTGTATGTTCAGTGAATTTGTATATTAGAGAAAAAATAAAAATGTTAAATTTGTCAGAAAAATACTTGTTTTTTGTAAGCATTATGCATTTTTTAATGTCGCTAAGGATAAAGCTGTTTAATTACTGTTTAATTTTCTTCTAATTCTAGTGTTGAAATGCTGTTTGACAATTCATTTTGGGGGTTCTACTCCTTTATATGCACCATTTCCATGACAGTTTCAAAATATGTGTGGGATCCTGTCTCAATTCTGGAAACCTCATATTCATGTTTGTATTGGAGTAAACTCTACTGAATGAATAAAATGAGTTAAAGGTTGCATTAATCCTCTGCCTTTTAGAGCACATAGTTTCTTTTATTTGTATCAACAGTTTTATGTTTAGCTGAGAAATAACCAATTTGTATTCTAAAAATATGAACTCTATTAAATTTTTAAAAAAGGGACATTGAATAGGAATTATGGATTGAAAATTGGATAGCAGTTTTAGAATAAAGAATGGTAGTCCCATTTTATATTGTGGTGTCATATAAACAAACATAAATATTGCCCTGTTTGTCAGAAAAGACTTTTCTTTTGTAATAAGGTTGTATATGTGCCATTGTACTTAGAATTTGTATTTGGATGCATATAGAGTTTATGAACATACACAGGCTATGATATAAACTTGTTTATAAATATGTGGTTTTATATATGTACATGTACATATATGGTTTTCATGTATTTTCTTTCTAGCTGAACCATAATATAAAAAATGTAGTTGTACGACCAAATAAAGGGAAATTGTATTGCTTGATGATAACACTGAAGGATTCTAGTGTTTTGACTCTTGATAAAATACCATCGAAAGATGCTGATGAAATGAAGCTGTATCTGGAAGCTATTCAAAACAAGATTCAGACAGGTTAGTATAAAACATTAACTTTCTAATTTCTTGGAGAAGAGATGGATGGATGGACGGACGGAGGGAGAGAGGGAGAGAGAGAGAGCAACTGGATAGTGTAGTGGTTAGAGCACTGCCTTTGACATGGGAGATGGGTTCAAATGCCTGCTAGTACTTGTCACTTAGAGTCTCTAGGCAAAGACCTCCACCACTTTACTGCTTACCTCAAATATGAGAGTGACACAAATTAGGAGTCATGCCCGTCTGGATTAACAAAATCCATGTCAGATATTAAGGACCAGGACAGTCTGACAATAAGTGGACCATTGGAACAAACCTTGCATGGATGAGACAAGAGAGCCTAGAATTGATGGACTGCTACTGCAGCAATACATCTAATGAGAGTGAATATATGAAAAGTGTGAGGAAAGTGAATGGACAGAAGACACTAACTGAAACCAGCTAGTTACCCAACACTTCAACATAATGAAGAGGAAGCTGTTCTTGCAACTTGAGATAGATCAACTACATTTGACATCTCAGACTTGAGAATAGCTGGAAGAACAACTCTCAACATTGAGATGTATAGCCAACACCTGAAGCTGGAACATCACTACTATTCCATCAATTACTGAGCACAGCAGTTGATATAAGCCATAAGATTTTGGATAAATCAGCTACAGTCAATTCTTGAGACCAGTTATCAAGGCTAAATAGAGACATATCACCAAGTAGTGTGCTAGAAGATGCTAGTAGAGCCCTCACGACAATCCCTACTACCACCGTGACTTCAGCCAATGAACTGGTATATGCTACAGCTGCTATAATCCTGGAGGCTTTTTGCTACATAAGCAGGAATAATAGCGGTACATACCCCTACCACCCACCATTGGAAAATGAGGTTAGAAGTTAAGTTCAAGGAAACTAGAGAGAGGTTAGTCTGCTGGTGGAATTACAGAAGGGTAGGAAGATTAAGACTCACCTACTGAAAGAATACAATGGCCTGACTCTTATCTGGAACTTTACAGACTGCTAAACAAAGGGCCACAGCACTGCCTACCAGGCTAAGGAGATACACTAGAGAAGTAGAGGCCACCAAGATAAAAACTCTGTTCTCTAAAGAACCATCCAAGGTGTACTCCCAACTGCAGTGCAGAAAGTAACAATGGAAAAACCAAAAAGCAGAAACTCAACAGTCTGGAAGAACATATGGGAGAAAAAGAAGATACATAACACCAGTGCACCCTCAAACTCCCAGGCCTCTGATCTCAGAACTGAGTTTGAGGAAGATGTATACTTCCCATAGGGATGAGAAATGAATTTTAATTTTTAAACTTATATAGCTGATCTTGAATAATATCATTTTTGTGAGCAGCATCAATATGCAAGTTTGTGTTTTTCTCAATGATTCTACTGTTACAGGAAAAGAAGTATAATAATGTATATATAAATGAAGTGTGTAAAATTTATATGGAACTATGATTTGTTTTTAGCTGTGAAATTATCTCATGGATCTGGCAGTTTTGGAGGAGTTTTAAGCAATAGAGCCATGCAGAAGGATTCTAACAGACAGTTACCTTCCCTTGAAAGCCAGGTATATTTTTTTCCTTTTCTTTTTAATAGTGACAAAATTCTTTTTTATGGGGATAAGGATGTTGATAAGATGACAGCCCATCTTAACATCTCTGTGTATAACTTCTGTTCTAAGAACAACCTCTGTTCGTACCTCTTAGGAACTTGAAATTTAATATCCATAGAAAAAGAATGGGGCCAAGTTAAGGGAGCCTATGAATAGCTGTAAAAATCATTACAGAAAGAGAACATAGATCCAGATATATTTTTGCCTACTAATTAAGCCTATTATTCCACAGCTTAATAATCATTATTTATTCATGGACTCATCAACTATAGGGCACTGTTAGACCTCTAAAGAATAGTTTAGAGTTAGAGTAACTCCTAATAAGCTTTTTTAGCATTACAAACGTTTTACAGTTAATGCTAATTAGCCTCTTACAGTTAACTTTAATTAATATATTTAATTTTCACCTCCATCTCAATCCTGCCAAAATTGATGTCTTTAGTAAACATTGGGGGCACAAAGGAGAGAGAGTGCAGAAGCTTTATTAATTTCAGTGCTTTTCTATTTGACATTTTCTTCCATTGCTTGGCCATGGTATTCTTCCTGGTATAAGCAGCTCAGGAGTGTCACAGATTTTTATGTCAGTCCACCATATTTCTCTGCCACAGTTAAAATGAAGACACTACTGACTGATCAGTCATGCATGGTGAAGGCCATTTCTGTCTTTTCTCCATTTCTGACTTTTCTGTTTTCTGTCTTTTGCGTTTTCATGCCTCAAGCCTTTACACCAAAGTGAAAATAAATTAGCATGTTGTGTAGGGAATTGAATATCTGCTTTAATATCAAACTTACTATTTGTGGTAACTATCCAAGGCGAGAAGGTTTTGAATTTGTCTGGAGTAGATTGTTATTTCAGTTTCACCTTGATGATCTTCAATTCTGGAAAGTATCAAGGCCAAGACAGCAGAAGGAGCAGCCCTATTGGTGATCTTTGACATAATTATTTTCTTGAAAGACATAAGGCTACTAACTGAATTCTTTTATCACTGTAAAATTAATATATTTGCTCTGCCAATGGTACTCTTACCATTGGCAGAGCAAATTACAGGTTTTCCTTACTTTATGGGAATTTGCTATATGTGAACAATGCAGCTAATCATACATACAGGTAGTCCTTGTTTACAACTGTTCAAAATTGTGATGGACTAAATGAATAGTGATTATCACTGGTCTTTGGAGTTTCAACCATCTCAGCACCCCTGCAGTCACATGATCGTGGTCTGGATCCTTGGCAACCTGGTCTTACTTCCTACAAGTTGCCAAGCAGCCCGAAATCACATGATTGTTTGTAATATTCCATACGCAAGCCGCCAAGCACCCCGAAATCACAGGATTGCTGTTTGTAATATTCCATATTCCCAGAAAATCAAAGGAAAAGCCGACAGGGAAGATTGAAAATGGCTGGGGTAGGTCTCCCCCACGCTCCCCCAGGTTCCACACCCATTCACACTACTCAAGTGACCCTGACGGCAGATAAACCTCCAGGTGGCTCAACAACTCTCTAAAGGAATGCAAATGACCAGCTGTCTGCAAGGAGTATAAATCCTTCCATTCCCCACCATTCAGTCAGAACTGAAGAAGCTGCTTGGATGAGAAGCGAAAGGTCTTCAGAGAAAAAAGAAAGTTCAGTTGCCTCCTGAAAAAAGCACCTTTGAGTCCCCCAGTCCTTCTGCACTTTTGCCATGCTAGCTGGTCATGCACGGGTACCTTCCCCAATCTGCATGCACCCTTCCTGAGTCACACCTCTTGCACACCTTCCCCAACTTGTGTCCATCCCTCACGCCTCCCTGCCTACCTTCCCAACCCCTGTGGCATCTCTCATATGCCCTCATAGACCCTCCCTGCTTTTGGTTCTACTGTGTGCAACATAACAAAAGAGTTCATACCACTGTGATGCATTCTCTATTTTTGTCTGCCATGGTAACCACGTGCATTAAAAATTAATCGTAGAAAAGATGGAGAAAATGTTTTCACTGTATGTAGAACACAAGGAAAAAGATATATTTGGATAACATAGCACTTAAAAAAATAGACCCTAGAAATTTATGAGCACATTTGTCAATGCATTTGGATGATGGTATTGTACCCTGTAACCCTCTTTATCCCACTGATGGAGTGTCTCACTTGATGTGAATTCATTTTTATGTGCAGTTTTGGGAGAACGTGAAGGAACCCTGTGCTATATTACCTGTGCCAGAACTGCTGAGGTCTTTTTTCTCCTTAGAATAATGTACATTTCTTTTACAGGATATAGTTTCACAAGAAGAAGATGATCATATTTAACATAAATATTGCTTTTGCTGGACATAGGAAGAATTCTTCCTCTATCTAGTTAGGAAATGTTGCTTCTAGAGAAAAAAAAAATAGAGGATCCTCTCCTACTGTATTTGGTATTCCTGTTCCCTTCCTGAGTTTCAGATTAGTTTAGAAAGCCACAGAGAATATGTTTTCAAAAGTTATTTTACATTTTTTGTTTAGCTAACTGATTATCCCTCATGATGGGAAAAGGCCTCTTTCCTTTAACAGCTGAGACTGGAAATAGGTACTTCATTGATGTAAATGAAGGGTCTTTAACAGCTGAGACTGGAAATAAGTACTTCATTGATGTAAATGAAGGGTGGGGTAACTTTAGGATGAAAATCCATCTCCAAGGAGAAGGAACACTGAGAGCAATTCCATGTTCTGTTTTAGACCACTGTTCTTACAGAATTTTGTTGCTTCTGAATCTGAAGCGCTCATGTGGCCTAATCCAGGATAGGACTTGGAAGCATTTATGTCTTATCTAGACATGAACAGTAAGTTTTATGCAAGAATTTTCAGAAAACTACATTGTGATTTGTTTTTCAGTTTAGAAAGTAAGCATTTAGTAAATTTAGAAAGAGTATGGTAGAATAAGATTAAAGAAGCTCCCTCCGTTGATTAAAGTCATGTTCTTCGATCACATTTAGTTTTTGTTGTTAAGCACATACAATATTCAAGCCTATCAGAAGGGGCTTCTAACATTATACAATTCTATTTAGCCAGGCACTTAAATCACCTTACAGGAAGCGTTCAGTTCTCCAGCAAGCTTACCAATGACTCAAATCTTGTGGATAAACTCTTGATTCCAGTTTACTTATTGTAGCTTGAATAAGACTGGTGCAGTATTGAAAGTCATGACTGTTAAATATTTTCACCTAAAGATAGAAAGAATGTAGAAAAAAGGAGCTAGTGATTACTAAGGTGGAAAATAAGGAAGTCTTAGGAAATAATTCGGTTGGATGATTAAATTTATTGGGGGGAACAGAACAACTGACCTGTTCGGTTCTCATTATTTTCTTGATAATTTCAGAGTATAATTGCATGCACACAAAGTTTTAAGTTAGAGCAAAATGCCACAACTATCTGTTGGCATATTCCAGAGCAGTGTTAGCTAGAAACAGTCAAATAGGGTTTCTTACACAGCAAGTTTAATAGTAGAGATGGAGAGGCTAAATTGAAGTCAAAACTACTGTATCTAGTTGTTATAGTTTTCCTAAAGTTTTAGCAGCAGTTATTCATAGGGGTGGCTTTCTGCTTTGTCCATGAAAATCATTGATTTCAGGATCATTAAAATGATTGGACTTTGCAGATGCAGAGGGAGGATCATTGTCTAGTGAGACAGACAAATAGATCTAGGTCAGAAACTAAGATTTCAAATCAGGAAATAGGGAATGGGCAGTTATAATAAGGCAAAAGTAATACTTTGTAGGATCTCAATGAATTAATCACCAGAATCAAATCAGGTGAATCAATAAATAGCCAGCAATATAATGGAAAGTTGACATAAGACAAACAGGAGTACCGTATATTCTGACGTATAAGATGACTTTTGAGAGCGTTGAAACAGCCTCCGAACTCGGTCATCTTATACGCTGAGTCGTCTTATATGCCGGAAATAAGGTAGTTTCTGGCGTATAAGACGACTTTCTAGGCATGCGACTCGGTGTCGATCATCTTATATGCCAGAAATACCGGTAGTTTCCGGCATATAAGACGACTTTCTAGGCATGCGACTCGGCATCGATCGTCTTGCGACTCGGCGTCGATTGTCTTGCGACCCGGCATCGAACTCAGGGGTCGTCTTGTACGCTGGGTCGCCCTATACGCTGGAATATACGGTATTTTAGTAGTAAACTAGACAACCCAAGACCCATTGGGTCATTCTTTCAAAGGTATTTCCTTACCAGATTCTTCAGTGGCCAATAATGACAGAACTTCTGATATTCTGTTTTCACTAAAAAAAAGTTTTGATGCTTTCAAAGATATATCTGCCTTGAAAAATATTCTGTTGAACTGCATAGCACAAACAACAGCACAAAAAGTGTTTTATAAAGTTTGATACATTTCAGTTTCAGAGGAATTGTAGATCCTAGATTTTGGGCATATTCTGTAAGTTGAAGTACCTTGGTTCAAAAACTGTTGCCCTATGATGTGCCATATTGCCTGGTTAAAAGTTAAGGAAACGATGGAGCGGGGGGGGGAAGAGAGAGAGAGAGATAGCCCGCCTCAGTCTCTGGTATTGGTCCCTTCAAAGGTCTCAGAATATTTACTAGGAGGATAAAAATATCAACTATATGTCCATATTCTTTTCTTAACAGCAGCATGAAAGTGAATTTCCATTACTTTCCTGTGAATTGTTTTTTAAATTTCCTAGTCTAGTCTGTAGCTCTGGGATTTATAGTGGTTGTCTGCCACAAGCTAACTAATCAAATCCTGCTTAATTTTCTAGGTGCTATCACTTACATTGAACTTAACAGAAAGGTGGTGTGTGTTTTTTTGGCAAGATGAAACATTGTTGGTCTCATTGATTTAACTAGTAGAGAAAGAGCTGAACCTCTCTTTAAATTGCAGAGGAGCTACATTAATCAAGGCCTTTTATGTTATAGTTCTAAGCAACTTTTTTCATTGTGTTCAGAGGAAAATGAGAGATAAATGTTAAGCAAATTACACAACTGTAACAAATCCCTGTTTTATGCAAATTAATTGGTATGTATTTATTGGATGATGACTCCCACTAATCTTGATTTTTTATTTTCTGATATGAGTTATGATAAACATTGCATGTCATAGGAGTATGCAAAACAGTTCAATTTTGAATGGACAGCTTTTATTTTTCAGAATATTCTGCTTCAGTCTTGAAGTGTTTTTATCACTTTTAAAAACTATGAGATCAAAAATGGGCACCTCAGTTTTTAAATAGTTCATTTCAAAGTATTTTGCACGCCATTAGTATGTTTCAACTGATTTTAGCATTTTCTCTTTGATTTTTTAGACTCCTAGAAGAGTGATTGTAGAAAATAAAGATGAAACTCCATTTCGTAAAGTATTGGTCAGCCAAGGAAGAGCATCAATTAAGAATTCTCCAGTAACTGGAATGTCTTTCAGCAGGGTCAATATCTCAACTACTACTGCTTCCACACCTCACAGAAATGGATTATTAGAAAACCGGTATGAACTTCGGAGGCAGCGCAACTTTCAATATTCATAACAGAAATAGGAATAGGTTGTAAAGATGTTTTAATAAATAGCTTTTCAGGTATATGTAAATTGATTTTATGTATAAGTGAAATGTCTAGAATATATGGGAAAATGTTGGGAAGCATTTCCAGAGTTGCCCTGTGGTAAGATGGGTGCCCAATAAATTTAATAATAAATAAGTATTTAAGCTTTTTTTTTACTTTTCATAGTTAAAAGTCTTTGATACTCCTTGAAAAATATCTTAAGCAGGAAGTAGATGGGGTTCTTTTCTTGTGAATTGAACAAATGTTTATTTTTCCTTTATGAAATAGTGAAAGAAGGAAAAGGACACCCCCTGCAGTTGAGATGAATGAAGATTATCCTAAAGAAAATGATTCATCAAGGTCTGTTTTTATTTTTCTTAAGTTCTGTTTTGTTTTGTTTTTTCAATATTAGATATTTTAGTTACTCCAAACTTTAAAAATCAGAATGATACAATATTTCAGGGAAAAGATGCAAGTGTTAATATTAATCCTCTTAAAAACTGTTAAGGATTTGGTAATATGGATTGAGGGGTGTGAGTGTGTCCGTGCGTGTGTGTACATTTTCTGTGTACTTCAGTGTGATAGTTAAAGCTCTGCTGTTTTGCTTGGGGCTCATAGAGCAGCACACAGGCGTGGGGCTGGTTAGCACCTTGAAGGCCCTACCCCGCCTCTAATTAACTTTAATACTGAATTTTAACCATCTTTGCTTATTTTTACATTTTACATGTAGTTTTTATGTTTTCATGTTTGTACATAACCCAGAGTCCGTCCTGTGAAGAAGATGAGAGGTTTCCGATAAAAAGCTGAGCTTTTCCATTCTGTGCTAACTAAATTAAATGTTTGAAAGAGGCAGATTTATACTGAAGTAGTGTTTGGGTGTATTTTTCTAGTAGGTTTGAAAGTTTTAGGGAACCATTTGTGACTGCAGATAAATTTAAACTTAAGAATTAATATATCAGATTGAAGTAGCACAGAGTATTTTACAAATAATGCAATTAAGATCACATGTATTTGTCTATAGCAATAACAAAGCCATGACTGATCCAGCACGGAAATTTTTGCACAACAGTAGAGAAAAGCAGCTGAATATGAAACAGGCGGAGGAAAACAGGCTATCAGGTAAAGAAATGGTACTGTTTTGATACTGTTTTGTTGGTTTTCTAAAAAATAATTTTAAAATGTTGCAGAATTATTTTGGATTTGCTTTACTAGTTATAAAATTGGCAGAAAATAAAATGTGACCATATATATTAGGTCAGAATATAAAGGCCCAAGCTGGGGTTTTTTTTTTTACAAGCACCCAGAGTCACTGGGAATCAGATGGCATATAAACTATAATGATTATAACAATTTTTGGTTCTCCATTTTAATAAGAAATGGTCTTAGTAAACAGTAAATGTCCCTACCTTCACCTCAATAGTTAATCCTGAATCAAATCAATCTATTCTGTACCTAAATAGAAATTTTGGAGGTTTTAGTGTTAATATTTTTTCACGCTGCATAATACTTTCATTGAAAATTAAGACAGCCATTTTATAGAAAGTGGACTCACAGAATAAGTACTTAATAAATGATGCAAGTTGAAGAGAGCATGCCTTTGCTATTTGACTCCAGCTTTCAAATCAGGAAAGCATTCCCCAAGTCTACTCTAACACAGGGATTTTCAAAATTTTTCAGGCCACATAAACTGTTATTTAAAAATATATACATTCTCAGAATCCCTGATCAAGAGGCAAAGTTCTGTCAATTAAAAATTGGCTCTGCTCAACTGAACCTTTTACCTCATTGTTTCTCACGAAATCCCATCAAGTGCTTGTACAACCATGAACCCAGTTTGAAAAACCATACTGTAATGTATAATATGAATGTTCTGCCTTAGGCAGGTTTTAAAGATGTTGCGTGTAAAATATTTAACACATTTCTTATCTGAATGCACCTTATTGCTTAATATGATCCTGCTGCCCGAAATAAATGACCAGGTAATAAATTCTAATAAAGCTGATACGCAACATGATAATTAGTTGAAGGAAATGGGGATTAAAAATGATACTGCTGGCCAGAGATTAGAATTTTGAGAAATAAGGTGTTTGTAAAATCAATTCCCAGTATTTCAGTTTTGTTGAGAGCTGTCTCCGCTTTGCTTAGCAAATACACTCAGTCCAAAATTTCAAGAGACATATCAGACTTTTGATAGAACTTGATACATTCTGAATCTGAATCTCATTTGAATTACTGAATATTTGTGTGTGTGATATTGCTGGCCTGTTAAGTCAGTTTTTATAAAAAGTTGTATCTGTCTCCTTTCCAGGGGTTGTGCCTTTACAATCATCTTCATTTTATGGTAGCAGATCTTCTACAAAGGATTATTCAGCTAGTAATTCTAATTTGGACAGGTAGGTATCAAAAATAGTTACTCTCCTTCAAAATGTTTTATAGTAAGAATTCTGTATTCATCAAATAATCGATATATGTTCTGTGAAATCACCTTATATTACTGCTAAGATAATCATGCCAAAATGAATATTTTTCATTTCTTTGTGTCCGGAAATGAGGTGATTTAATTAGTTTAGGACACTTAAAGCCATTCCAAGTATTGTATAAAAGACTAGTTACAAATATGCAGTCTCAGCAGCTGCCAGCAAGAAGCTAAATAATGTTGGCCTAGTATCCCTCAAGGGGCTAATGAGGGTTGTAGGCCAGACTGGAAAACACAATAGCAGATCTTTTCTATATTGGATCTGTCAAAACAACATGGTTAGCTTTAGATAGACACCAGGAATCAGGCAATTTGAGGAAGGCTTTATTTGGATATTTAGACCTGCCAGGAACCGTTTAACCAGTTTTTGCTGTGTGGTATCCTAAGCTTCCACATCTGAAATGAGCCTAGAGGATAAATAAGTCCTATGAGAAGAATGTCTTAAAGGTACTTTGGTGCCAAGCCATATAGGATTTTAAAAATTAAAACCAGCATGTTTAATTAATTTGGAAACCTATTGATAACAGATGCAGCATTCACAACATCAGTGTCACTTGCCTGAGGCAACTCTTACCTTTATTCTCCAGCAGGGAGAGTTTCATTTTCTATCAATTGAATCTTCCAGATAATGTTCAAAGCAGTCCTGTGTACGGCTTAGTGCAATAGAAGCCACAGGTGATGATGGGATATGAATCATTGTCACCATGTCCTTTTGCTTCAGGTAGAGCAGAAGCAAGACAAACATCAGGACATCTACCTATGCATTTAACATGCATAACTAACAGTAGTTGGAGTCTTTGATTCCCCAGTCATAGACCTGTTCATTCAGGAACAATGTCGTCCCATCCAGAAATACAGTTGCACCTAAGAGAACTCAGCAATTTCTGCACAAATGGCTATTCCATCTTGCTAGATTCAGTTTAACCTGTTTTATTTATTTTTATATATCAAATTTAAACATGTGTCCTAATAATGTTATTAGCTCTTAGTTGAGCATACCTGAAAAATCTGTGGCTGCTTTATATGAGGAACTTACAATACTGATTTCAAAACAGTGTTACTCCCAACTAAGAATTATTAGATTTTAAAAAACCATTATATGCTTTCCTCATTTTATTCTTGACATTTGAAGATGGTCCCTGTTACAGTTAAATTATCTGGATGAAAATAAAACTAATTTATCTTTAAGATAAGTACAATATTTTAATTTTTATGCTTTGATATTTCTCTAAGTAAGTGTCATCTTTGCTTGTCTAACCACATAATCTAACCATAATTGTAGTAATAAGTTTTGTCATCTTTGAAATGGTTTTATCCCTCTTGTTTTATAGGTCTAATGTGTTGAATCCTTCTGCCAAAAGAAGCTTAGGCTTTCTCTCTCAGCCAGCCCCTCTTTCTGTGAAAAGACTGAGATCTAATCAGGATTACACAGGATGGAACAAGACTCGAGTGCCCCTTACCACTCATCCACAGCAACAGTTACAAGGGTTGGTTGTTGGACCTTTATCATCTTTTTTATGTATAAATGTGCTAAATTAACTATTGAGGAAATAGAAACTCACTTAATATTTCTTGGCATTTTCTGTAATGTTTTTTTTTCTGTGTTATCCTTTCTTTAGTATTTTGTTTTAGGAAGTGCTTTTTGTTTTCCTCTTTGTTATGTATAAACCATAATGTTATGGTATGTTAAGATAATGAGTAGGAAAGGACCACACTTATGCACAAATACACTGTTAGAATTATAATGTCTTCTCAAATGAGTTTTCCTTTTTTTCTAAAACAAACGGACAAATAAATATAAATATTTGTAATTAGGATAGCTAGGCAATGACCACTAGTCAATGTCAGATAGATTTTCCCCCTCCTCACTTTTTATTAGCTCTTTTCTATTTAATTTTCTCTTTATATATCTTCCTGCTATCCCTCTTTCTCCAAGTTCTGGGTGAGCAATGTGAAAATTTTAGACCTGGCTGTTTCAAGGTCTGCTCCAGAATACCTGCTTTTCTGCTTCTCCCACTGCAGCTTTGATGCTGACAGTACTGTATTCCAGTCATCTACAGCAGAGTTCCCCAATCTTTCTGGCTTTGTGGACCAGCCAGGCGGGAGGGGATGGTTCTGCGTGAGTGGTGCACATGCATGCGCAGCTCCATTTGTGCAAACAGTGGTAGGGTTAGGAAGCTCAATTGTATGCGCTCGGCCACTTTTGCAGCCCAGTTCTGAAGGGCTCAAGGCCAGGCAGTGGGCCATAACCTGGCAGTTGGGGACCCCTCAGCTACACTATTCAATGATCTTGGTTTGCTGTCCCAGGGACCACTCAGCTGTGTCTTAAAGGAAGGTTTATGTAACATTTCCTCAATGTGTTGTCTAGCCTGCTGCTGTTGTTGTTTAGGTAACCCTTTGCAGATTTTTCTAAGAAACCACGATGTAATCTGTGTATTTATGTAATCGTATTTATGCTGCCAGTATTTTAATTTGGTCATATTGTCTTGTTCTCCACAGATTTACAAATTTAGGAAATACTTGTTACATGAATGCTATTTTACAGTCTTTGTTTTCAATTCAGTCATTTGCTAATGATCTTTTGAAGCAAAGTATCCCATGGAAAAAAGTTCCATTCAATGCATTGATCAGGTAAGCATCAGCTTGGGGAATAAATATTTTTATGAATATTATTTCAAAAGATGCATCCAAATGGTTTACGCAATTTATAACTTTGTTAAAATGTATAAATCTACATTGTCTTTCCTAGAAATATAATTTGACAATTGTGAAAGTAAATAGAAATATATTTCTTTCATATGTAATCCAGCTCCACGAATAAAATAGAGGTTCAAAATGAGATGAAAATACAAGAATGTCTATCATTCAGTATTGCGAAATTCCTTGAAACGTTCCTATTTCAACTTTTAAAACATTTTTAAAATAATGCTTCAAAGGGAAAATGTTAGATGTCCTGAAATCAGTTTGTTTTGCTACGAAACCCCTGCTGCTTTTTGACTTTAAAACTAAACATTGGAAAATCTATAAAGGGAATTCCTTGGATGTTAAGGATGGTATCAGTCAAGAACAGAATGTTGAGCTTTTGTTGGTGTATTACTTGTTTTCAGTCTTCCATATATTTTCATGTTCTAGTTCTATTAAGCATATTGCATCTTACAAAAATAGCATTCTGAATACTGGCAAAATAATGGGGAGCAAAAATTACTTGCCTTTCAACGTGTTTGCATGCTGCATTAATAAGATCACATTTTCAGGGGAAGATAGGAAGCAAAGTAGTGGAATTTGGAGGATATTGTTATGATTAAACATTGCTTAGGGTTATCAGATATGTTACTAGACAAAGGAGGACATGATCAATAAAAAAGAAGACAAAGAGGAATGAAGGAGGACATGCTGTTTAACTTCCTTTGCATTCATGTCAAAAATCTGAAGGAGTGTAGAAATGAAAGTTCTTAGGCCTACATGAAATTATTTTTTCCAGCATCAGAAAGACGAGCTTTTCAATGGAAGAATGTGACAACGTGGGTTGACTGATTAAGATCCTGTCAATTTCAGGTGGTAGTAGAATCCAGCCAGAGGGTGCTAATCACCTGATTAAGGTCACAAAGCTGAGCTTGTTAACTTGTGGTTAGCAATCATTAAGGAATGTGGGAGAAAAGTGCTCGGGAACAGACAGCTTGTATATAACTTCAAAATCCACAATATTTGATTTTAAGGCATTGCCTGTCAGAGGACATGAGGACAAAATTGCCAGATGTCCGGTAACCCCAACATGTTTTTTAATGTGAAAACATTGTCATATATTTTTTCTAGACGATTTACCAATTTACTTGCTAAAAAAGATGCATGTAGCCCTGAAGTAAAGAAAGAACTACTCAAAAAGGTGAAAAATTCAATTTCAGCTACAGCAGAGAGATTCTCTGGCTATATGCAAAATGTAAGTACCATACATTGAAGTAACTGTAGCCAGTAGTTTGAGCTACTTTATGAGCTTTGTCACTTGTTACATAGTGTTTATATAAAAGCTGTTTCATAAAAGTACCCCAAATTAAAGTAATCTTTTTTTGGGAAAAGAGCCAGAAAAAAATATACACAGTTGTTAGATGGCCATCCTTGGGGCTTGATTTTTGATGTAAATAAAGTTAGAGTTGTAAACCCCTATTATCTGTTGTAAATGTGATTGTTGATTGTTTTATTAACCTTTTCTTTTCAGCTAAGGGTATTACTCCAACACTGTATAGGGTAGAAAATCTAGAAAAATTAAGACATCTGAATAAATTTCTGAGAAAATTATTAGAATATCCCTACTAAAAACTTTGCAAGAAGAGAGCTGTACAAATAAAGGAGAATATTTGTAGCTCAGGGTTGAAACGAGTGGTGCTCTCTGAGCTTAGTTGTTTTCTTGGAGACTTTCTTTATCCAATCTAGTTAACACAATCAGTGCTAGAGAGAGCTGTGTTAATCTATGTAACTCAAAACTGGAGTCTGGTAGCAGCTTTTATCATATGGCATCAGCTTTCATGAGCTTCATCAGATATGTGAGTGGCTTAACTGATCTAGGATTTAAATACATGGAGGGAGGGAATAGGGAGGAGAAGACTAGATGGTTATGTAGATGAAGGTTCCAGAATTGAAACAAGTTCAGTATTATAATGTTGAAAATTGTTGTTTGTTCAGACCTTCTAAGATAGCCTGAAATCTATTGACATAGATAAACTCAGTTGTTTCACACTCAGTTCTGCTGACCTTATTGCTGCTACAAGGAATGTCCCAGGAGATTAAAAAGCTATCTTGGAAGGTCTGAACAAACATATGGGTTTTAGCTGTTAATTGGTAAACTATTCATTATCTGCCTTCTATGAAATCTTGATCTTCACTGTATACCTACAGCTTTTCCTCCAAGATAGAACTGTGGCTAACATTTATCATAGCTGATGTTCATATTAGATACACAGCTTGGATAATAGTTAAGATGTTGGCTTCCTTAATGACCTTGGATTAGATAATTGGGTGATATTGGAAAAATGCAGCATTGGAGAAGAAGGGGAATCTCATAATAGAAGCATTTTTGACAAATGATTTTGTCAAAAAATCATTTGTTTTTACCAGAAAGGATTACATTTACAATTATTATTTGAGTAAAGATAAAGCTGATAGCTGAGTATCATTTCTTGAAATGTTATTGTACAGTAACATTTCCTCAACCATGTTGCCTTTGCTCTGAACTAAAGTTTTAAACCATGCCCTCTGCTACTCTAACAATCCTTTGGAAAAATATTTTTACAATATGGTTATATTTGTGGAGAATATACCATTCATTGTTACACTGTCCCTTGCATAAGGATTTTAAAAGGGAGGGAATTCTTCCTAGGGCTTAAAATAGCATTGATATTGCACACAAACACACCCAGTTATAATTGAGGAACTTTTGAGACATTTCTCTCTGCATAATAGAACCTAACTGTTGCATTATCAATTCACAAGGAAACTTCATAGTTGCTTTTTAATGAGTTTTATTTGCATTTAGCCAAATTTAACAAAAGTATGATTGAGAATAGCTTAGAGTTGTTCTAGACAGTCTATGAAATGAGTTGTTGGTGAGATAAGGTGGAACAATTAAGATGTAGCAGATACTGGAATGAGTGCAGGGTTCTTGTACACTGTCCAGAAATTACTTCTTGAACTTTACTTTTTATATCTTGGTGTATATTTTGCCATTTGAAGAAGAAAAATGTAAGCATATAATTTAAAGGAAATAATATTATAAAAGTAACTTTGCCACCAATCCTCACATTTATGACTTCACAAGTTTTTAAAGCAAAGGAAAGCTGAAGTAAGATCATGATATTGTAGTGTTTTACCTAGCTACTGTTTTACTGAATGATCAATATTGTAGTCACTAAATGAGGATTATCTGCAGTGGTTCTAGTAACAGAACCAGCTTTAAATAATTTATACCATACTATTGAATCTATACTATTTATAAATATGTTGAGGGGATGTTAAAGCTGTACTTCTAAGAAACATACTGATGATTTTAGGATGCTCATGAATTCTTAAGCCAGTGCTTGGATCAGTTGAAGGAGGACATGGAGAAGCTGAACAAAACTTGGAAGAGTGAGCCTATTTCTGGTGAAGACAACTTGTCTGGACGCGTATCTGATGACTGTTCAGCCACTAAAGTTTATACATGTCCAGTAATTGCAAATCTAGAATTTGAAGTTCAGCATTCAATCATATGTAAAATGTAAGTCTTTAAAGAGATCTTTCCCCCCCCCCCACATTCTGATTGCTTCCCTTTCCTCACATCATTCTCATGGAGTTTGATGTTAATACATACAAGGTCTGCCTTCTGAAGCAATTTAAATAATGGATGATTCTAATGTAAATAAGCATCATTCACTGAGCGTTGCTAGCATAGTTTGGAAAAAGGTAAACATCCTATTCAAATTCCTGCTTTAGTTGAAATTCAGGAGGCCTTACATATTTTCCCAAAGATGTTAAAAATAGTCAAAAGTGGGCATATTTTAATTTATCTAAAGTGTTTCCAACTATTGGCTTTGAATCTCAGCTTGCAATTAATGAGATCTTGGGATTTGTAATTCAGAAACACTTGGAAGGACACAGGTGCCAACATATGGCATGGAAGATTTCAGCAGGTCAGGGAAAGTATTTTAATATTGCATACTTTTTACTTAAGAACATTTGAACTCTTATGAGAAATCCAGTAGTCCCATTTCTCTTATGGCACAGCTTTTCATTCAGCAAATGCTCTCACAATAAAGAAGTATGGGAACAATTTTGGTTGTTCTTTTTTTTTTTTTTTTTAGCCTACCCATATCCCATCCACAAAAATCTGTTAAAGAAAGTTATGGAAACCTCTAGAGCAGGGGTGTCAAACTCAATTTCACTGAAGGCCACATCAGCATTGCGGTTGCCCTTGGGGGGCCGGGTGGGTGTGGCCAGGGTGGGTGCAGCCTACTGGGTGGGCGTGGATGGAGTGGGTATGGCCTACTGGGTGGACGTGGCCAGTTCTACATCATTGGTGTCAAGGGTGCCTGTGGGGGCCTGGGCAGGAGTGGGACAGATCTGAGGGTCTCTGGCAGAAGGGGGTGGGACTGGGGCAAGTGCCAAGGCATGGTCCACCGAGGCAAGTGCCAAGATGGCCACCACAAAAGTGTACATTGGCTCCCGGCCGGCCTGGGCCAGGGCCAAGACAGAGGGGCCGTTCCCTCACTGTTTCCAGGATGGCTTTGCAGGTCACATGAAATCACTTCGCAGGCTGCATCCGGCCCCCGGGCCTTGTGTTTGACATGTCTGCTCTAGAGCAGTGGTTCTTAACCTGGGCGATATTGCTCCCCAGGGGGCGATTTCATTTTTAAGGGGGGCGATGGAACAAAAAGGGGCGACGCGGGGGCGAAGGAACAAAAAGGGGGCGATATGGGGGCGATAGAGCGAGACATTTTGTGGACACTTGAGACTTTTTCGTGCAGTGAATCGCTGTATATCTGTTGTACAAAAATATCAGATCGCTCGCTATTAGTGGATTGAATTGTGTTTTCAAATGTTCCTCCAGCTAGCTTCAGTACAGAACGCCGTACATATGTGAAGATGCATCGCTTATCTTCATGCGTGTTGCGCAGCAGCCTCTACCCATACAGTGGTGCGCCATTGGCCAGAATATGGGAGATATGGGGAAAAGACTGGAAATAAATTATTTGCATCGATATGTCCTGATGACAATTTTAAAGAAAACAAAACAAGTGTTTGCATAAATTGAAGAATTATTTCCTATGTTGTGATTGGAAGGTTATGTTGGGGGAGGGGGGCGATGACAACTTCCTCAATTGGCTCAAGGGGGCGATTCGTTCAAAAAGGTTAAGAACCACTGACTTAGAGCATCTGGAAAAGTATTCTGAGAAGAGACAAATGGCAAATAAAAATGACCCAGCTGGACTAAAAGATGTTGCATTCTAATTTGTGCTAAAATGTTATCTGTGTGTGGTATTAAAAACTTGGCAAACTAAATGAAGTGAAACTTTTCTATGCAGGTGTGGTGAAACTGTCACCAGGCGGGAACAGTTTAATGATCTTTCCATTGACTTGCCACGTAGGAAAAAACTGCTTCCTTCTAGATCAATTCAAGATTCTTTGGACCTCTTTTTCCGGGTATATATATCGCTTCCGATTTATTATATCTTAAATTTCATTTATTTTTGTAAAAGTTTTCTGAATATTATTTCTACTGTACATTTTTTAAATTGCAAGTTGAATGCAAATCGATTATATGTTGAGGAGTGATCTTATGGAAATACGTTAGAGTAAAGTTTCATGACCTTGTTTCAAGTTTCTTCGTGGACTCTTTTTGGGAATAGAGTGGGTGGGGGAGAGTCTTTCATGGTAAAGAAAAAAGAAAAATCCTGAAGGTATTAATTCTGTATAGGAATCATCATGTAATTTTGATGATAACCTTTAACTGGATTAATCTCAAAAACAAATTAGTTGGTGTTTCTTGTTCTCTACAATGTATTTTTTCATGGATATTTGGTGTGAGGGGTGATTGTAAGGAATGATTGTCTATCCTTAACGTGTAAATAAATACAATGGTTTGCAGGGAGGAATACCAGAACAGGTTGTTGTTGTTTTTTTAGTCCTGTTTTAAAGAGGATAACCACTCCCACCAAACTGAGGAGAGAAAAGAAAACACTTGTTTTTAAATAATTTTTTTTTATCAGATTACAATTCTTGCACATGTTGTGTCTCTTAGGCAGAGGAAATCGAATACTCCTGTGAGAAGTGCAGCGGAAAATCTGCTCTTGTGACACACAAATTCAGTCGGTTTCCCAGGTAGGTTTATGAACTTGGTACAAAAATAATGTCAAAATACTGGCAACTTTTAGGATCTATGAGATAAAGATATTTAGGGAGAAAACAATTGTTTGGTATCGGTTCTAAAATAATTGAATTACATGAATTTAAATTCTGAACGGAATGTCATTCTTGGAAATTAGAAGTTTAGTAAAGCATCTTGACAATGCTTCCATCAAATTTTAAAAGCAAATTTTTTTTTCTTAAAAACTGGCACAATAGCAGAAACATATTTATATTGATTACTAGGTGTAGAATGAAAGGTTGGACCCCAAATCTGTTTCCTATAGTTGTAAGGATTTTGCTAAGTTCCTATTCCTTCAGTAGAGTCATCCTATTCCTACTGCAGACTCCTCATTCCTTAATACTTGCTCTAGAGCAGTGATGGTGAACTTTTTAGAGACTGAGTGCCCAAAACCCTCCCCCGCCCGCCCGCAGGGCCACCCACCACCTCCACTGCCAGCCGCAGCAGATCACCCAGGCAGCCCTGCAGCGCCATGGCGACCATGCCCTCCACCTGCCCCCCCCCCAGCATCATTTGTGCGCGAGGACAAAGTTTTCTCCTTGCTGCCCGGCTGCCATGTCTTTGGCTGCGCTGCTCTGTGTGGGCCACGCCTGGGGGCGACTATCCTCTGGAGGGACTGCTGGTGAAGAGGGGGCCGCGGGAAGAGGTGGGGCTGGGGCAATAGTGTGCATGCCCACAGAGAGGGCTCTGAGTGCTGCCTCTGGCACTGCTCTAGAGAATTCTCGAACTCTGTGGAATAGTGAGGAGGAAGGTTGTTCTAGGACAGCGGTTCTCAACCTGTGGGTCGGGACCCCATTTGGGGTCGAACGACCATTTCACGGGGGTCGCCAAACAACGCAGTCCGCCATTTTTCCCCCCCTTTTCCTTAGCTGTGCTACTCCCTTTTATTCTATTGGCTTTTGAAAGCCAATAGAATAGACTCTCTTGAATAGAGTCTAATTCTATTGGCTTTCAAAAGCCAATAGGAATTGTCCAGGCTGTCTCTGCCCTGCTGAGCCCACCAAAAGTCCCATTCTGCAAACGGTGCTGCACCAGTTGAGTAGTCCTCGACTTACGACCAGTTGAGTAGTCCTCGACTTACGACCGGTTGGGGGGTCGCGGCATTAAAAAGGTTGAGAACCACTGTTCTAGGATGAGGGAATACTGCAGAAGGAAAATGCTCGTGGCTGGAGGTAGGATGGAATTTCGCTCTGATTCTATACTTTGGAACAAAAATAAACCTTGGATCCATCTCAAACATTTATGTTAAGAATGAATAATTGTATAAGTAGCTGACAGGAGCGAAAGCCTATAGTTTTTAAGTATTACTGAAAAGAATAGTTGTTTCTACATAGCAAACAATTTATACATTTCCATTCCTTCTTGTCTCTTAAAGGGTTTTAATACTTCATCTGAAACGGTACAGCTTCAATGTGGTGCTTTCCCTCAATCACAAAGTAGGACAGCAAGTGGTTATTCCAAGATTTTTGACACTGCAGTCACACTGTATAGAAAACACAAGGCCCCCACTCAATCTTGGATGGAGTGCACAATTAGCCATGTGAGTTTCTTCCACTTATTCTACTAATAGTATTTATAGATTGTTTTATTTTTGTTACAGTGAAATTTGATCATTGATCTTTGTTTAATGGTCTTTGGATACAACAGATTCAATTTACATTGAGATGTTACCCTTGAAATAATGGACAAAAGTCCAGAGAATCTGGATTTTTCTAAATGATTAAGATTAAGGGTGCCTGTTCGGAAAAAGTGAGATGTTGTGATGCTGATCTATGAAAAACATTGTAACAAACTCAGATTTAAAAGGCTTCCATAAATTATGTGCCAGCTGTGATAGTTAATCCAAAGATTGCTGTCATAGTTTCTTCAAACTGTAGTGTAAACTTGGATCCCCATTAAAATGCCTATATGTGATAGTTTTCAGAAATAAACACTGTTTTTTTTTTTAAATCAGTTCTCGGCCATTGAAAGTGTCCCAGATGGTGAATTCCTGCTCTGTAACGACTTCTACACCTTGTCGGTGAGTAGCATGGTTTTGAGGTATCTGAAAAAAAGACCAAAATTAAGTTTTTAGAAATTGATTTTACACTAAATATTTGCCCTCTATTTTAGAAATTTTGGTGCATTATTTTATATTGTTAACATCATTTTTTTTTAACTTCCAATGGTTGCTGAATTAAGCGAGCTCATTAACCAAAGACTATCTTTAGTCTGATTCGGTAAAGCTTTTACTAAGGTAATGCATTGTTAAGGCACTAATTGCTCTGGATAGATCACATGGTAGCTTTATGGGAACATACTTGTTTTCCTTTATCAGAACTGAGAAAAATATAGTGAATACAAGTTTAATATGTTTAAGTTTAAGGTCCCTTCCAACTTTATTATTATTAATAATATTTAAAAGTATATTAAATATTTAATGAGAGCATTACATATTCTACCATGAAATGGAAGTTTTGCATGAAACATTCTACTTAATATACTGTATATATGGCCCAGTTCATATTTACTGCTCTATTATACAATGTATCTCTTGTAAAAAAGAAACATTGTTTCTACCAATTCAATTTTTTTCTCCTCTAGAAACCCAGGAATATTAATGTTTGTGTTATAAAGAATTTTCTAAATGTTAGATTGAGGTAATAAAAGATGTTGCAGAGGGTTACTGTTTGAATAAATCATTCTACTATAGTCCTGGAATTATAGTTTGTCATCAGCCTAGCTATTCTGTGAATAATTTTGTACATTGATATTAATCAGCATCATTAAAAGCAGTGTTTCTCAACCTTGACCATTTTAAGGCATGTGGACTTCAACTCCCAGAATTGAGAGTCCACATGCCTTAAAATGGTCAAGGTTGAGAAACACTGATTAAAAGGCTTTTTTAAAAATGGTGAATTAAAAGTTCTTTGTTTCTTTTTCAGAAAATACTCATTCAAGAATAAAGGTCAAATTTTAAATTCTTTGGATTCAGACAGTGAAGAAGAACTCCTAAAACGCCCTGTTGCAAACAGTCAGAAACAGTGTGATTTCCAGAGCAAGGAACAGCAGCAGCAAGAGGAGCTTGAGAAAGTAAGAAAAAGAGCTTGGTAGAAGAAGAATGTATTGTGACCATATAACTTTTTTGTGGTAATTAGATACAACATTATTAACAAACTTTTGAGTTGTGAGTTTTTGCCAATACTGTACTGCCTGCACCAGGAAGTCAGCAGGAAATAGCCAGATTCTGTTGCACTGTTATACATATGTGAAATGCCAGGAACCGGTCCCCTCCTGTCCTCTCCTGATCCCCAGCACCCTGTTAGCTGGAGTTTCAGCCAGGCACAGCACAGTTCTCATTCCAGAGAAGCAACAGGTTTGCAGCAAAGCATGATGGGCCCAGTGAACCCTCTGCCATAGTGGGAAAAGGCAGGAAAGGGTGAGCTTCCAGCATGCTGCATGCAGTGCGCCAGAAACCAACCCCCTCCTGCCACCACCCAAAGCCCACTGGCATGCCACCCATGCGAGGCAAGAACTGCATCGCACATATCTTTTATTTTTGTTGGACTTGCGTACAAATCACACTTATGAACACTCTCTGGAATATAACTCATTCCTAAATTGTTTTTACTTTTAAGAGTGGCCTCTAGTGGCTGCAGATGATATGACAGGTATACAAGGATATCCTTAAGAAGAGCCAAGCTGAAGATTTTGATACTTGTTTTATGTATGTATGTATGTAGTTAGTAAGTTAGTATAGCTTAAATATCTTTAGCACTCAAAGTCAGACTTTTCTCTGATGATGTCAGAACAATTCTGTATATCTGCATTATGGTTATATATTCAGAATCTCTGTTTCATTTTTATGTTTTATGTGTAATCATTTTACTATGATGATTGCTGTAGTATCCTGAGAGAATGGATCTCGGTGAATTTTGCCTTTTATTTATTTGTAGAGCTCAAAGAAAAATAAAACAGAAAATCCCAAGTCTCCAGATTCAGTAAATAGTGGGCTTGAAACAATGAGTGAAGATGAACTTCTAGCAGCCGTCTTGGAGATTAGTAAACGTGAAGCATCGCTGTCAAGCCATGATGAAGATAAGCCAACAAATAGTCCAGATACTGGCTTTGGAGATGATGAGATGCAAGAGTTTCCAGATAATATGGAACTTAAGGACGCTGATAAGCCCAAAGCTGCTGCAGAATCTGGTAAGAGGAGAAGAGCAATAAAAGGCTAGAATTTGAGTGACCGTGTATGGAGTGGGATGAAATATGTTCTCTTCATATTTCTGGCTCTCCAGTAAGTACAGAAAACCATCTGTTGACTTGGTGACATTACAGAATGGACAGGCTCATTTGGTTTTTGTTTGCCTTATTGTTATTTTGGAGGTGGGAGATGAGGGCAATAGAAGAGAAATCAAAACAGTCCCAAACATCTCTTCCCCCATCCCTACTTTGATTTTCATCCTTTTTTTTTAGCCTCAAAATCCCTCTTCTGAAATTCTGTTGAGTAGGCATCTCAATTTAATGCTTTAATTTCAGCTCATGTTTAGAGTTACAAGGTAGGTATTAAGAGTTGGAGTGAGGATGGTCTACCTTTCTCAACTGTTATATTTTAATCCCATCTTTATTTGGGGAAGGGAGAAAAGCAAGAGCTATACCACCGATAGACAAAATTATTTTGAGTCAATTTTTATTATTATAAAATTATTTGTGTTAAACTGCATTTTAAAAAAGATTGAATAGTTATGTCATAATGCCTTGCATCTTAAAATGTGCAGTGAGGTTTATGCCTAGCATATTTTATTATACAGTTCATAATTGTTAATAAAATTACAACTAAAATCGGAAAACGAAGCAAAACCGTCTTTTTTACTGTAGGAATCTCTTTTAAAATGTTAAGTCATAATTTTGAAAGGCAAGAGCAAAAATGGGGGGGATATTTCACATACTGATTTCCATCATTTTCTGGTGTTTCAGCGCTTAAATTACACAAATGACTTAACCAGAAAACACTGAATAAGTACTGAAAGCAATTCTCTCCTCGCTCCCCTTATCCTTTTCTCCTCAAAATAATCACAATGTTCCTTTGGCTCTTGAGATCTGAATAGCATGAAAAAGATTTAGTCCAGGAATAGGCAGTCTGTTGTCCTAGGGCTGCATGAGGTTCTCAAGTTCTTTCTTTTTCTGATGAAAATTGTCAGCATAGTTTTCTTTTTTTTATTAGGTAAGGATGATATACGCATTAATATGAGAATATAAATACGCACATCATATAAAAACTAGTCCCACTCATACAATACACTCTTGTTCATATGCGTGGTAGGTTTCTGTGGTCACCCTCACACACATTTCTGTTGAAAGCAGGGGTCACTAAAAAGTTATCCACCCTTAACTTACCCAGTTGCCATTCAGTTAGCAGCCCCCACAATTCCTGCAAAAATAAATTGAGACGCCATTTTGTTTCCCTAGATTATGCCAACTTTACCAAGGTAACTAAAGATTTCGATGAAAATAAGGAAAACAAAACTCCAGAAGGCACTCAGGGGGAAGTGGATTGGCTGCAACAGTATGATATGGAAAGGGAGAGGGAGGAGCAAGAATTACAGCAGGCTTTGGCTCAGAGTCTCCAAGAACAAGTAAGGAGCAGTACACTTTTCATGATGATACATGACTATCTCAGTATCTCTAGGGAGGAGAAAAAAATTCACCTCACTTTATAATACGACACTGCGTGATTTTGTTTCATAATTGCAAACTTAGAAATCTATTTTTATAAACAAGTTTTTTTATAGAAATCCTTTAGCCAAGTTATGTCTTGCTGAATTTAATGCTTTTTTAAAAAAAAACATCAGTTTTAGCAAATTTGGATTCGGCAGTCCACTGGGGTCACTGCCCATCAGAGATGCTTTTCTGTAATATTTTTCTTAACGACCTCAGTTGATTCCAAAATTTCTGCTGCTAAGTGAGACAATTGTTAAGTGCATCCCGGGGTCGTCTGAGCGCCATTTGCAGCCTTCACCAGCAGCTTCTGACATGGGGGGGGGGGAGTCAATGGGAGAAGCCAGATTGGTTTAACCACCACAGGAAAAAGGTAAATAAAATTGGGTGTCATCATGTGATGAGTCACTTAACAATCACAATGCTTAGTGATGGAAGTTACAGTCTGAATTGAGGTTGTAAGTTAGAGACTACTTGTAGTGTTTAATAGTTGTGTTTAATTCATTGGTTTTATGATCAGATCTTATGATTTTATTGCTTTTAAATTACAAGAGGCATAGAATCAAAAGAATATAAATGTTTGTTAAAAATATAAATGGAGAATATAAATGTTTGTTTAAAAAAGTATCAACAATCAAAATTGAGAACAGTTAATAACTAACTTTTTTATGGGAAAAAAGGATGGGAATATGTCAGGTGCCTCTTCAGGCACCACTGTGTTGCTTGGAAAGCCCCATTATGCATACTCAGGAGCTGTCTGTCAGTATGTAAAAAAAAGTAGAGTACAGCCCTTCTGAGATAATTCATTTCATTACTAGTTACTTAAAATATTTCTTATATATACTTTTATAAATATTTACAAATGCATAAAGAAACAAAATGGAGATGGAAGCATATATGAATTGTAACTGATTAGGCTAGGAAAGAAGAAAAACTTTCAAATGTATTTGCCCATTTATTGTTTAGCAGTGAAAGAAGAGGCACCTAAACCTCTAGAAGCCATGTGTCTGCAAGCCTTTGCTATTCTAGTTTTTTCCTAAATGAAGGCAGTTCCTCCTATACTGTTTATTCAGGCATATGTCCTCAGCTAGATTTGAGTATACCATACATTCCACTACATAGAGAAAACTTTTGTTCTTGGGCTTCGTTGGGAAATAGTTTACATTTTGGCTGAGAGCATGTGGTGAGATTAGGGACTTGTTGTGTTGCGTACCAATCTCATGCAATATCTGTGGGGAAAAATAGAGCAATTATAAAAAACAGGAAGTGTCTTAGAGAACTAAGCTTGAATCTCTACCCCAGCAGGAGGCGCGGGAGCAGAAAGAGGATGATGATCTTAAACGTGCCACTGAATTAAGTCTACAAGGTGAGATGCACAACAGAAGAAAGGACATATTTTAAAAGTACAGTTCAATTGTTCAGAGAAAAGAGTGAAATTTGCTTTTGCAAGACAAGTAAACTCTATGATTGGCTCTGAGTACACAACATGTAGCCATTCCTTTCTGCTTGAAAAGTAGACATAGGTGGCTGCATAACCCCCAAATATTCCCAGAATGTAATTTTCTAATTTCAATAAACCTCTGTGTCATCATTTTTATTTTAAAAGATTAAATGGTTCTATCTTTTGTGAAGCTAATGGTACATACAACTTCAGTGGTATGTAATATCATATGTTCATGAAACCACATAAAACTGAATAGGAAAAAGTTCTTGATTAACATCAAATGTTGTATACAAACAAAAATAGTTAAAAGTTTTAGCCATTAGTGTGAAGTGGATATGGTGCTGCAGCCCTGTAAACAAGCAGAATATAGAGTCTCAGCAGTTTTCAGTGGCTTCTTCTCCAATCTGTTTTATTTCCCTAACCACAGTTTGACTATGTCTTGTTAGCATGCTCAACTCCATTTCATAAATCCTAAGCGAGATAAAAGCATGCAAATCTGTCCCGGATTCCTAATTTCTGTAAAATGAGAATGAGAGATTTCTGCTAAAAGATTTATTGTTCTATGAACTGTAGATTTAATTTCCTTGTGTTCTTCTTAGGGTTGATGTTCTGCAAAGCAAGTTGTAAAAACTAGCAAGAGTTAGTCATGGTTCCAATGTAGAGCTAGTTTATTTAGTAGTGGGAGATGAGCTGTAATTTTTTCAAAATATTTTATGCATTTTGCTATGAAAATTCACTGAAACTCTCTTATGTTAAGATGTTGTATAAGAACATAGCATACATTTTCTGTTTCTTGCAGTATTGTACCTTGTATTTTTTTTTTTCATTGATGCAAATAGTGCATTCAGTTTATGTGTTACTTTGGTAGCATCTTGCTTTTTAAGTTAGTGCAAAAGCATTTAAAAACTGCATTTTTGGAAATAAAGTTTTCCCCTCATAAACTGATCTGTTTGCATTCTAAAAACATCTTAACTTTGTACCCAGTATATATTTAATGCTTACTGTGGCACTGAAGATTTAATATAGTAGATTATTTCCTTTAATAAAGAGAGGTTAAATATTTTGCATTTCTAGTGAGACAGTGCATCATGCACTGGACTGTAAAGTTTTGTCATCTCTGTATTATGCACATCATCAGGAATCTTATACAGTATCCTTTTCATGCTGTTTAGAGTTTAACAACTCTCTCCTGGATAGTCTTGGCTCTGATGATGACTCTGGGAATGAGGATTTTCTAGACATGGAGTACTCTGAAACAGAAGCTGAGGAACTGAAAAGAAATGCTGAGGTGATGATCTGGGAAACCAGGGGAAGAATACTAACATGTTTTACAGGTGGTAAATGCTTAACTAAGGTTTTATGGCTTGGATAGTTCAGTCTGTATAATAGGGCACACTGGGTCATCTTTATTAATCTTTCTCAGTGATGACTAACAGTGAGCCACAGTGAATTGTTGGTAATATGTTGGCCCTTGGAGATGCAGTTTCAAATCCCTACTTCAGGGCAGACTGAAAACAAGTCCTAAAGTGAAACAGCAAATGTGTCTTCCTCATGCCCAAACTGAAAAGCCTGGCCATGTTTCATTCTTCCTGAGAGGAAAAAAAAAATCTTGGTTTGGCAGAAATTGTACTTTTCACAAGTTGAGCGCAATCTCTGCTATGTTGGGGAGTTCTACATTAGTCTTTGTTTGTGACAATCCATCCTTTTCACACTGAAAGAATTGTAGTCATGAGAACAAAAATTGGGAAAAACATGAAAATATTCATTGGAAACATGAAGTGACTTTTATCAGCTAGTTAAATTTGCCTGGATACGGCTAGCTTGGCTTTGGCCCTCTGGCTACGGGCTCTAACCTGACTTCCATTGGTACAAGAGGGATGGAAGAAAAATCACAGGCTTTCAAGGTTCTGTTATTGTAGCCCATGTCAATAAAACATAGTTCCAGAGTTAACTTGTGGATTTGGTTTCCTGGTTTGGCCTAGGTGGACCAACACCTACGTGGGGCTGGGGCTGGGGTGGAAATGGAGCTTTGGCAGAGGATTGTCTTATTCCATCTTCCCTCCTACCACGAGGTGCTGCTATAATGTGAGCAGAGCAATGGTAAACAACACATTGGGAAATCCCAGTTGGTTTCTGAGGTCCATTTTCTGCAAGGGTTACCTCCCAGTGTTGTGTTCTTACACTGGTTACCTGGTAGGAAATGACAACAACATTTTATTAAAATGGAGCACTCCCTGATTCTCAATGATTGTGGTGGTTCACAACAGTCAAATTATGTGATCAGTTTCTTACCTTCTTATATTTCCTTTTTTTGTTTTGTTTTGTTTTGCCTGCTCATGTACTTCTGCCAGGCTTACACCTTGGAAAGAGGGTTGAGAGCCATAATTGTATACCAGCCATAGTTGCATACCAGTTATCATTACCTGCCTTTTGAGTAGGTGAAGGGGCAGTGACAACTGGATGACACCATCCTGTTTTTATTTCTGTACAAAGACCTTTGAATTACTTCTTGTAGTACAGCCCTTTAATATATTTGTCCAAAGATGCTTGTTTGCCTTATGCCTGTGCTCTCATATTGGATGTCTTCCCTCAAGGAAGGAGATTGAAATATAATAATCCCTTCATTTACTGAATAGCAAGCTGACTATCTTTGGCTCAGTAGTAATATTGGTGATACAGATTGAGTCCTTCCTAGTTTAGCACTCACTGTATTTTAACCACACAATGGGAAATAATATGTACAGTATTTAAGAGAAGTGTATTTGTGAACTAATAATAAAGATTTTTTTCTGTAGTACGGACTAAGGAAAAATGTGACAGTCGTTTTGAGTGATGTATGTGGTCATAGTTCAGTCTAGGACAGGGGTAGGCAACCTTGGCTCTTTTATGACTCATGGACTTCAACTCCCAGAATTCCTAAGCCAGCATGCTCAGCTTGGAAACCTGTCCCTTTTCCCTCAGCACAGCTGGCTCAGGAATTCTGGGAGTTGAAGTCCACGAGTCATAAAAGAGCCAAGGTTGCCTACCCTGGAGATAAGGATTTTGTTGATCACACTTTGATGAATTACAGGTAGTTCTCGATTTATGATCACAATTGAGCCCAAAATTTCTGTTGCTAAGTGAAACATTTGTTAAGTGAGTTTTGCCCCATTTTACAACTTTTCTTATCACTATTGTTAAGTGAATCATTAGTAACATGGTTGTTAAGTGAATCTGGCTTCCCCATTAACTTTGCTTGTCAGAAGGTCACAAAAACTGATCACATGACCCTGGGCACTGCAACTGTCATAAATATGAACCAGTTGTCAAATGTCCGAATTCTGTTCAGGTGACTGCGGGGAAGCTGCAACGGTCGTAAGTGTGAAAAACGGTCATAAGTCACTTTTTTCAATGCCTTGTAGCTTTGAACGGTCACTAAATGAACTGTTGTAAATCAAGGGCTACCTGTATTTAACTGATTTTGTAAAAGAAAAAATACATTTTTTTTATAAAGCCTGATTTGAGTTAACTACAAATTTGAAATGAATTATTCTAGTGTTTGATACAGTGTGTCCTACGTTTGCTCTTATAAAGTCTCTCAGAAAATTAAATGCCTGATATATTCAGAAATAAACCAAAGCTAACAACAGAATTCTTTTACAGACAGGAGAGCTTCCTAATTCATATCGTCTCATTAGTATTGTCAGTCATATTGGAGATACATCCTCCTCAGGTAAGAAAAAAGCTTTTGTTTATTGTTTTTCTAAGTTGTGTTTTGGGAGGCTTTTCGGGTAACCAGAATTCAAGATGAAGAAAAAGAAATGTTAATTTTTTATGCTTGATTTTTATTCATCCATCCATCCTTCCATTCATCCTATTTGCATAGCTGCCCATTTCATAAAACATAACTCTGGGCAATTTACAATAAACACTATAGAACTGTAATATAAAAAACAACCAACGATTAGAAAATATTATGATTAAAAACAGTTTTCATACCAGTTTACAAAGTGAGGGATGCCATTAAACAATTTGATATGTATTCATCAATAAATCTGGCATATAAAAAGATGTTGAATCACAGTAGTCATATTTAAAATAATAAAATTTGTCTGCAGAAGATGTCATTTATTAGATTCTTTGGCCTGTATATCAGAAGCCGAGATATTACAAGAGGCCTGCCTTCTCTGCTGTAGCACCTGCCCTATGGAGCAGTCTCCCTGCAGCAATTAGGATGGCTGGCCTTTTGTAAGACCCTAAAGACCTGATTCTTTGCCAGGCCTGGAGCCCCAATTGTTGAAGGTTCCCCCCCCCTCCTAGTGACTGTCAGTTGTGATATCTTCCTCAGCTATTGTGTATTTTAATTTCCATATTTTTAACAGGAATTAAAAAAAAATATTTTGAAGTAGTTCACCTCTCAAACTCATTTGTTGAGATGGACAGAACACCAATTGAATGAATGAATAAAGGAATAATTCTTTTTGTCTATTCCATTATTTTTAAGGTCACTATATTAGTGATGTATATGATATTCGCAAGCAGGCCTGGTTCACATACAATGACCTGGCAGTATCAAGAACTCAAGAGGCCTCTGTCCAGAGTGATAGAGACCGGAGTGGCTATATCTTCTTCTATATGCACAAGTAATTATTATTTATATTATTTACTGGTTGGATGTTTTTATTTCATTTCCATATAAATGTTACAGCTGTTGCGGGGAGGGTATTGTTAACATAGCCATCTTGTTCCATGTATTTATGTGAAGATCTGAATAGATGGGATGAAAGAAGGTATTACTGAAATCTATACTGTAGAGCAGTGGTGGCGAACCTATGGCATGGGTGTCAGGTGGCACTCGGAGCCTTCTTTGTGGTACACGTGCCGTTCCCCAGCCTTGCCTCCCCCTGCGACCCCCTCCTCTCCAGCAGCCCCCCTGAAGGAGAGTCGCCCTCGGGCATGGCCTACATAGAGCAGCGCAGCCAAGGACATGGCAGCCAGGCAGCGTAGACAAGACTCTGCCCTCACACCCCATCATGCAGTTAATGCTGCAGAGCACAGGCAGAGGGTGTGGCCACCATAGTGCTGCTGGGCTGCCTGGGCGATCTGCGGCGGGCCCTGGAGGCGGTGAGTGGTCCTGTGGGCAGGTGGGGTGGGGGATGGGGGGCAGAGCAGGGGTGGGCAGGGGGGTGGAGCGGGGGTGGGGCCAGTTTTGGGGCACTTGGTCTCTAAAAGGTTCGCCGTCACTGCTGTAGAGTCATGGGTTTTATTCAGATTTCCAGCTTGTGCATCTTGTGGGAAAATACCAGAATGAAGACCTCTAAGAAAAGTTAACAAGAAATAGTTCTTAAAACGAGAGATGGGTTCTGTGTGAACCTTTTAGGGAATGGCACTGGAGAGGTACCAGGAGGCTCAAAAAGAGTCTCCAACTCAAATTAGCCGAGCCTTGGCAGAAGTTATAAAAGGAGAAGGGAAATGTAGTCATTTGGAGACATCACACAGAATGGGGTATTGCAGTCAGGACTATTGGCATTGATGAAGAATTCATACCAAGCCTGACCAGCTAGATTTTCAGTCATGAGATAAAAGTTTGTGCATGTAATAGAGAAAGAGAAACAAAGGGTTTATGTTTTTAATTCAGAAAACAAATAAACCTGTATATTTTTTTCCCAAATGTCCTTATGAACGTCTCTGTGACAGCATAAGAAGCTAGATTATACTGTATTGTGTAGAATCTCTATTACATCTTTTAAAACATTCCTTTAAGTGCCATCTTGTGTACATCATGTGCCTTGGCTGCTCTGTGTAGATTCTGTTTGGTTTCTAATGTGTTTCTGTTGTCCAGGGATATATTGGATGAATTGCTCGAAACAGACAAGAACCTGCAACTGTCCAGCACAGAAGTGGGAAAGCCAGTCTGACAGCCCTTGTGAAGAATGCCCCTTTACCTGAGCACAAAGAGTTAAGAACTTTTGCCTAATGCACGGGACACACAAAACTGAGGAACTCAGGACCTAGTTGAGAGACAAGCTGCTTCAGATATGAAAGGGCCATTCCATCCCTTTCTTTGAACTTCAGCAGTTAATCTTCTGTTATCCAGAATTTTTTTTTTATTGTTTTGGTTTTGTTCTCTGTTGAGCTACTCAAATAACTTTACCTGCAGAGGAGATGATCAAGCTAGAAAATTTAAAAAAACTTCTTCCAAAAACATAGTATGAGAGAAGACCACAAGATCACCTATTATTAACAAACGAAGGAGATCCTAAACATAGGTTGACTTTCTTTCTACAGAAGAAAAAAAAAGGGGGGGGGGGAAGCATAAGCTATACTACAGCTATACTATTTCCTGAAAGTGCAGGTGGCTGATTGGTTAAATGGAAGGATCCATCTTTCCTAGAACAGATGGACTTAAACACTTACGTTTGTAACACTCCAGAATCCTTCATTTTCATCATTTCAAATAATATATACATATATGTATATTTTAACTTTTTAAAGTTTTTATTCTTTTTGAAGGCATTAGTTTCTAAGTACTGTCATTTGCAGAACAGTTCCCTCTCCCCTTGAGTGTGCATGGGCGTGTATATCTATCTATCTATCTATATTTCTTGTGTTTCATGGAAGAGCCACCCTGGTTGGGGTGGTGAATGGCAGTCCCTTTTTGAGCTGATGCTAATCAGTAAATGAAACAGAAGCAGCTCAGTTCTGCACTGGCTTCCAGAGCTGTATGTGCTTGAAAGTGGCAAGTAACATGGTAACAGAAACATGGAAATATAACTGAGTTTGTTCTCGTGCTGTTGGAAAAAAACAAAACTCGTAAATGATTAGCATTTGCAAGATTTTTCAGAGCTGCAGTAGAGGAGTTTAGACACTTAAAAGTGTTTGAATAACTTGCTTATGCTGGCAAAAGTTATATAGAATTTATTTGTGCCCAACCCTCATTTTAGTGCTGGAAGTTAATAACTATTATCTCATTTTCACTTTCCTAGCAATGAAATTGCTAATAATTGAGATGTTTCTTGATTTGCTTCATAGTAAAAATATTTTCTTTGAAAAAGATAGCAGCTACATGGAAAAAATGTATTTTACCCTTGTTGGGGATTTTTCTGTTCTTTACATGTTAGAACCTTCTGAAACTACATTTTGAGAGTAGACCTGAGTCACATAGACAATAGAATTATTTGTTGCAGAAAGGTTTTAAGATTATTGATAAATGCAGCCAGTATTGGAGAACTCTAAATACGTAAGTATAGAAGATACCAACAGACTAAAATACTATCAGATGTAGAAGACAAAGTTCTCAAAAACTACACTGCACCAAAGCATAACATGCTAACTTCTGTGGTAATTTTGTACTGTTCACAAAGGTATTTGGTGTGTTTTTAACAAAGAATAAAGGGATTTTCTTTGTAAAGAAGAGTATCTCAAAATGTGATAGTCTTGATTCTAGAGTAAGGCTAGCTCTCTGTTAACGTAACAATCCTTTAGATATTTGGCAGAATCTGAAAAGAAACTGAATTTCTATGCTTGAGCAGAGTTATCAGTAAAATTCAGGAAAAAGGGTTTTTATTTCACTGATAGCTGAACTTCCATTCAAGTAAATGTTACCAAGTCCTTGGTCCCTTCTCTGCTCCCCCCAACTCTAGATACATCCTAGAATTCCTTATTAATGGAATGTGGGGGTGGTGGCATTTTCTTCATTGCTTGTTGTGGTCTCTGGAGAAGGGGCTCTGGAGAGTTGAGGTCTTTAAATATAAGCGGAGATGGCAAATTCAGGTTCAGGAGAAAAAAAATCAAATAAAATTACATCTCCTCTTCTCCCTTCTGGCAGAAGGTGGTGTTGGCTTTCATTTCCTGCTCTGAATGGAGGCAAACATTGTAATTACGCAGTTATAATGTCTTTGGTTCCATACTTAACAGTGAAGCCAAATTAACTAATATATGTGCAGTTGCAGTGTTCTAATTTGGTGTCTTCTATAATAAAATGCAGAATTGCCCCTAGCCTAGTGTGTAAAGACTTGATTTGCTTCATCTAAACCTGAAAAGTATGTAGCCTGGGATAAATTTATGTACCTTTGGTAGAAAATAATTCTCATTCAGTAAGAAGTGGTGACTGTTAATCCTGGTTTGCATTTTACAAATCAGATCAAATTCTGTCGCAATGCAATGAACTTGTGCTGCAGTTTATCTGTTTTTCTTATATACAGTTTTAACATTTAACTCTGAAACTGTGTAGACCGTACTGGATTATATTTAAACCCTCATATTAAATGGTTTATCATATTTCATTTTGAGAAATTATACCAAGCAACCTGGAAAACCTCTTGGAAACCTGAACTGCAGCTGCTGGTATTTAAATTTTTTTGCTTGTTTTTAAAAAAACAACTGGACTTTGTTATACTGTGTTTCTGGAACAGCATGATATGGCACACTTCTAGACATCTTAACTCTAGGATTACTGATTCTAGATTTTGAAGTGAGACCAAGCCCTAACCATAAGTTTACCCAGTAGTGGATGGACTTTTTAAATTCCTCTCTTCCTTTCTTGTATCTGTCACATCTTTTTCCTGCACTTATTTTTATACAAGAAATAGCCATAACATGTTTGCACTAAGTAAGTAAATTCTTCCCAAAAGTAAAACAAAACTTGTACATACGTGGCATTTAAAAGGTAGCTCAGGTAGCTTGCTTTAAAAAAAAAAAGAAACTTTAGAAATCACCAAGCATTGCTTATTTTCCCCCAACTATCTGCCTCTATTGTGCTAATGAAATGCAAAAGTTGCGGTTATAGAATATTAAGCAGCATTGCTTCTATTTGGATGAAGCCTAATATTCATATCTGTGATAAGGTACAAAGTTTCAGGGACATTTCTCTATTCTGAGCTGCCTTTTCACTTCCTGAGGACCTGCCAGCATTCAAAGACAGTTCTGTACATTATGGGTTTCTGATGCTAGGTGTGCTAAGAAAAAGCTGCTTGTATTGCAACTAAGTAAAGGGCAGAGTAATTCTCTTGAAATTGCATAAATTAATATTTCACGATGAAATTAATATTCTGGAAATAAGATTGCCATGTGTTTCTGGAAAAGAACAATTAGGGTGCTTTTTAAAACTAACCCAAAATAGAGAATTAAAGAGAATTATCAAAGAAAGTTCATAACACTTTGCTGCTGTTCCGCAGCAGTAACCTACTCCTTTGCTTTTACTTTAAGGAGTTGTTTTGTAAAATCTTGGTGGAAGGGAATAAATAAAAATGACAAGGGTTTCTTAGCAGGTGCATTGAGAAGGTTGCCTTGATTATATGTTGGGAATCACTTTGTATCCCTTGACACAATGTGGAGCAGCATTTTTCTGTGTTTTAGCAGACCTGTTCTTCTATTCCTCACAATTCTGCTTCTATTCTTTCTTTTTAAATAATGTGTAGATCAATTTCTGAGAAATTAAATGCTCTTTGTTAATGCCGAATCTGATTTTTCTTTCCAGAGCAATGCAGTGCCTTACTATATTTCTATTGTCCTTACTGCCATTTGACTGCTATTTTTCCTCCACAAAATTGGCACTACAAAAATCATGCTATTTTTTCACATTGATTTTGCATCTTTAGCTATTCCACATTTTTGATTAATTTAAAATTTGTTCTTATTTGTCTTAAAATGCATAACCATTCATTGTTGGAGAAGACATTGCTGTATGTTTAAAAAGATACTATAATTCATTATGGAAAAGAAGTGTCCATTAGCAGTGTGGTCTTTAAGTTTCAAAAGCTGTCATTCTCTGAAGGCAAAATTACTATTGTAAGCCACAAAATGTCAATCCTATTTGCTTTGTCTTTGAGGAGAGACTATTTCTGCCAAAAGGACCAGGTATAGTGTTTCAACATCATTTAACTTAAATTATATTTACAATGGCAATGGTCTGGTGATAAAATGGCCCAGTTCTGTTTATGCTGCTCTGAGTTAATAGTGTGGTAACTTGCTGCTTACAAACAAGGATAGCTTCTTATTTTGCATGAAGAAGTTTTATTTGCACTGGGATATATTTCATAAGACAACAGTGGTTCCATCTGGGATGCCTTCTGCTTTATGGGTCACCTCAAGACTATTTTGAAGCCAGCTTCTTCATTGGCAGTTGAAAACTAGCTATAATCATGTAGACAGCTATGAACTTAGATAAGAGCAGATTAAGGCAGATTTGGAGGGGCAATACTCCTAGATCTGTTATTTTTACTTCTATTGGCAAAGCTGTGTTTTTTAGCAGCATAAATAGCTGCTTTTAAGTAATTTCTGGCCAGATTGCAAGATTGTGATGGCCTTGTTTGAAAGTTTTTGGTCCAAAATGTTTTTTTTTTTAAATTCTAGGTAGGAAAATTGGTTGATAAGAAAAGTAGCACTGGTTAGCTGAGGGAGTCTCCTGAGATTGGACAAAATAATTGGGAGCAACTGGCATGTGAGAAAGTGAGGCAGTGAGAGACTGAGTGAGCAAGAGAGTGCTACAGCATATGCAAAAGGAAGGTGATAAAGAGCAATCATCAGGCGGAGAGTTGGCACACACCTGAACTGTGGTGCAAATAGGGGTTCCCTATAAAAAGAGTTGGAAAGTTGTCATCCAACAGGTCAAGTTCTGATAGATGGCAAAATGTATGGGGCTCACCATCAGTCAAAACCCACAACCTCTATTAGGAAAAGTGGTGGGGTGGCATTTTTTTGTTTTTTGTTTGCCTTCCACTAGCAAGAAATCCACCAATTGCTTTCCTGCATCTGTTCCACAATGAAGTTGTTAGGGCAGCCCCCATTTGCCAGTTTTGTCACTAAGTCAGATTGGAACTTGGCTATTGGGAAGGAATAATTGATTCCAATATCGTTCTGAGCAGCTTCATAACTGGAGGAAAGTATGTTAAAGCAGATATTCTGGGTCTGCATTAAGATTATCTATCGTTTGTTAAAGGAAGCCCTTTTATCTCTACAAAACTGTTAGTGGTGGAAAATTCTGAATGCTTCTGTTATCAAGCTTTTACCAAAAATGACATTATGGTTTGCAAATGGCTGAAAATAATGGCAAGCATATTTCCATTTAGAAAAGTCCTTTTTCCTTCTTGAGAGTCGCTTGTTTCCATGAAGCCAATGCAGCAAAATCCCGCTGGGACATTCCGAAGACCTGAAAGAAATCTTCCTCTGACAAGTATTGCTGTGGAATGGAAGAAAAGCACGTATGTGATAAGTGACAGCTAGATTTATAAACAGCGAGAAAAGTAAATGGATATATTATTAAATATAGGGGGTTTTTTTCCCCACTGAGAGAAAATGAAAGCAATATTTCTATTCTGGTACAGTTTTGCATAGTTCTTTGTAGGCTTCACTTTTACCCAATTTGTGTTTCCGGGCATTATTAAAATCACTGCAAAGATAAAATGTTTGCACATACACCAAAACTAAAATGAAAATATTCTCAGTTGGCCTACATTCATTTTGTTTCATTTATGTTTTATTCTTATTTATTTTTCACATTTCTGAGCCACCCATCTCAAAGAAGGACTCTGAGCCATGTACAATATAATGTCAAAATATATTTAAAAACCCAGTATAGGTAATCCTTGATTTACAATAGTTCATTTAATGACCAAAGTTACAATGACACTGAAAAAAGTGACTTATAGCCATTTTTCACACTTATGACCATTGCCGCATCCCCGTGGTCACGTGATCAACATTCAGATGCTGGGCAACGGGTTCATATTTGTGACGGTTGCTGTGTCCTGGGATCATGTGATTACCCTTTACAACAATGGTGGCGAACCTATGGCACGGGTGCCAGAGGTGGCACTCAGAGCCCTCTCTGTGGGCACGCGCACCGTCGCCCCAGTCCTAGACCTTCAGCTGGGTTTTATAAAACCTTTTCGCTTTAGGCCTCCGCCACTGTGTACAAAAAAAAAAAAAAGTTCAATCAATGAGTCAATTTCAACTTCTCGCGGGGAAAAAAAAGATCTTGCAAAGTTGGAATTGATTGATTGAACTTTTTAGTCCCACCCAGTCTGCCTTTACCACCGCAGCCATGCCCAATGGGCCATACCCAGCCAATGGGCCACACCCAGCCAGTGGGCCACACCCACCTGGCACCCGCCGATACATAAGTGGGTTGTGGGTTGCAGTTTGGGCACTCAGTCTCTAAAAGGTTCGCCATCATCAGAGCTGAGGTGGCGCAGCAGTTAGAGTGCAGTACTGCAGGCCACTTTAGCTGACTGTGTTCAGCAGGTCAGCAGTTCAAATCTCACCGGCTCAAGGTTGACTCAGCCTTCCATCCTTCCAGGGTAGGTACAATGAGGACCCAGATTGTTGGGGGCAATGTAAATATATATATACATTGCTTACTGGTGTACACCGCTTAGAGAGTGCTTGCACTTAAAGCGGTATATAAGTCTCATAAATAAATAAATTAATTAATTAATAAAATAAATCACTGATTTGCAACCTTCTGACAAGCAAAGTCAGTGGGGAAGCCAGATTCCCTTAACAACTCTGTCAAGAAAAGGTCATAAAATAGGGCAAAATCCACTTAATTGTCTCACTTAGCAACAAAAATGTTGGGCTCAATTGTGGTCATAAGTCGAGGACTACCTGTATATAAAAACTAAAATGTCAGAATTAAAATTTTAAAGCTAAAAGTGTTTTTTTAAACTTCATACCAGATTAAAGGAAGTTTCCAAAGCCATTTAATACACTTTGCAACGAGCAAAGAGTTTTTTTATCCTGGATTTTCTGCAAATATTATCAACAACTCTTGAAATATCCTCCTTGTCCCCATGGAAACTATAACCCGCTGATCTCTCACCTCCTTCCTGCTGGGGTCTATGTCCTTGGGAAGCTCTTCTGCAGCTACGTTCACCAATTTCTCCAAGGGGTACGTAGAGGAGGAGGACAGCTTGCCAAAAGTTGTCTTGGCAGTAAAAATTTCTTTTCCTTCCAAGATTTCCTGAAATAGAAAAGGGGACGCCCCCCAAAGCTATTCCCAGGCATGGCTATTTTGTTTAAATTTGATAAAAAGGAGTTACAGGCTGGCCTTTTCTAAACCAATTCTCTTTGAGAGTGTAGATAGGAGGGTTGTGTATTTGACGCTGCAGGGCAAATGAACAATGAATATGCTGCGGTTGAGAAACGTTTTGTGAGAGTCATTTAGAGTTGTCATTTTTTTAAAAAAAATGGTATTTGACGCAACATAAAAAGGCAATTTTGTGCTAAAGAGGTGCAGCACCATGGAGTCACTCACTGTGTAAATCAGTGTTTTTCAACCTTGACAATTTTAAGGCATGTGGACTTCAACTCCCAGAATTCCACAGCCAGCAATGCTGGCTGTGGAATTCTGGGAGTTGAAGTCCACATGCCTTAAAATTGTCAAGGTTGAGAAACACTGGTGTAAATAGTGAGATCAAGGAAGATGAAATATATGGAATACAGGCCCTGATTCATTACAAGTTAAATGAAAAAATAATTGCTGTGACCTTTCAGGGTGGGTTTTTTTTTTTTTTTGGTAGATTATCAATGCCTAGGCCAGGGGTAGGCAACCTTGGCTCTTTTATGACTCGTGGACTTCAATTCCCAGAATTCCTGAGCCAGCCATGCTGGCTTAGGAATTCTGGGAGTTGAAGTCCAGAGTCATAAAAGAGTCAAGGTTGCCTACCCCTGGCCTAGGCTATGGAACATAGAGTTGGAATTCTTAACAAATTATAATTATTTTGTGCCTGAATCTTGTTTTCAATTTCCTGTACAGGTCTCCTTGTTTAGCAACTGCCTTTTTAGTGACAGCAATTTTGATGGTGATGAAAAAATAACATTATGATTAATTCTCACGCTTATGATGACCTTCCCAGGTCTGTGAAGTAAAGCAAAGTTGAAGTAAGCTCAGCTGCAGTTTCACTTAGTGGCCCCTTCATTTAACAACCAAGTTACCAGTTCTAATCGTCACTAAATGAGGACCGTCAATATGCATGAAAATCTAATTTAGGTTTAGGAATAAATTCCCTGAATGTTATGGTGCCATCAATATTGCTTAAATGGTGATGGGAAATTTGTATGCATTTAATATACAATTGTCACAATTGTAATTTCTATATTTTCCATTTTGCTGACTTCCCTGCTACCTTTTCACTGTCCCTCTAAATGGCAAATGCATACCGACAAATATATGAATGTAAAATATTTGATGCCCCAAGCGGAATAATGTGCTCTTATGAGTCCCAAATGTGGTTTTTTTTCAAAAGGCAACTGGATTTTGTTTTTCCTTGAAACTGTTTCACTTCTCATCCAAGAAGCTTTTTCAGTTCGGACTGTCAGAACCGGAGAAGCTTCTTGGATGTGAAGCAAAACATCTTCAAGGAAAAACAAAGTCCAGTTGCCTTTTGAAAAAGCATCTTTGGGACAAGCACAACCTGGATGACTAAGAATCTCCATAGACATGCTCTTAGGAGTTTTTAG